ACAGGTCAGAAGATATGGAAACGCTCGGAGGCGCGCTCATGTCGCGAGCTATGAGACCTTTCACTCTCCCTAGCAGTATGTCTGCTTCCAAGCGCATGGAGTCTTCGCTATTCTGGCCTTGGCTGGTCAACTGACCAATCCGTTGTAAAACGCCGAGAAGCTCCTCGCTGTACCCTAGGAAGCCGTCTATTTTGTGGTGAGAAGTCATCTCTGACTCAGAGGAAATCTCCGCGTCCACTGTCTCTGTCAAAGACTCTACTTGAGGCAGTGACGGAACATGTGGTAAAGTTTGTAGAGAAAGGTATAGTTGGTACAAATGCTTCAGGGCAGATTGGGTAGGCCCTGGCTTGGCGAGGATATCTTGAAATTCTTTGTTACTTCCAAGAATTGCCTTGACCCCCTCGAGATGAATACGCCATGACGAGACTCCTTGTCTAGTTGAGAAAACATCCGCCAGGCACCATATGATGCATGTTGATAGCGAGACCTCGTCCATTTGGCCTCGCTCCAAGGCCGCCCTCAACAGCGATAAGCCTGAAGATTGCAGGTGGACAATGATTCGAGATACGTCAGTGCCATCTATCATGACCAGCCCTCGAGAAAGAAACCCTGCCGCCGATAAGGCAAGGCCTGCAGATAGTAGATGGGGCGAATGCAGCATTGCAGGGACCAATCCCCGACAAAGGTCCTCATGGATAGAGGGATGACAGGACAAAGAAGCTAGGACGTCTTTCGCAAGGTAATCCAGTAGCTTCCTATATCGCGGGGGCATCGGCATGCCATTTGGAAGACTCTGTGGGATCACCGGGAGCTGCGTATGCGGTAGTGAGGCGGAATCTCGAGTAAGGTTATTCGTGCCATAAATGAAGTCACCACCATCATTGTCTATAGTGAAGAAAGGAGAAGTTAGCTGGGGTCTAGATCAGCATATACGGGAAGGCAGTGAGCGTAGAATTCATAGGGGGGGATGTATTGGCCGGGCATCTCTACATATTTTAGTAGCTGGGGGGTTCTGGGCTTGCAGACAGGTCCCAAACCGAGATTTGGAAAAAGAGCGTCCGCCCCAGACTAGATTCAAGGTATAATTGCAGACACGGTTGTAGCCGAAACAGGGACCGCAGGTGGGCTTCTTCTCGTCGCACTTTCTCCGCCTTCTTCGGCACTCATCACACCCCTGTCTCGACCTGTTGGCCGGCATAGATGGTGACTAGTTGTCGGAGATTGGACGATTGGGAAACATCAAGCTGGGGAGAAAAGGGGGCCCCCATGTGCAGGACGTCCATCAAGGTCGCTGCGGTGGGCAAGACAGGTGATGGAAGAGGCATCTATCACCTCCGTACGAGAGCAAGAAGATGGGTTCCGGCGATCGGATGCTCCCACATTTCAGCAGTAGTCTCTCCATTATGGTTGGCTTCAGACAAGCTCAGAGATAAGCAATGCTGGCTGTTGAGGAGTGCATGATAAGAGCTCGCAAGGGGTGAGAGATAAGGACAAACAGCTGGCAATTGGCCAATGAGAGTCTAGTTCAACAATGTGGTCGAACAATGGAATATTCACATCGACGTCGATTCTTCCATTCCCCAATTGGGAACTAATTCCAAATTCCATTCTGTAGACAAAAAATCTTCTAGCATAGATGATACGTTCTCACAAGGAAGGTCATCCGGAAGCAATAGCAGAAAGTAACTCAGGTTTGCCCTCTTGAGCTTGAAATTTGTCATCGATTCCCAGTCGGGTTGCCGATAATGGCGCTAAACTCAGAGGGGAATTCACATCCGCCTGTTTGATTGGGGCAAAAACATCATCAGGCCAATCATTCACTAGCAGGCAACCGACTAACATAAACATGGACACGTACAGTTGTATTTCGACACAATATCAACACAATTTCCTAGTAACAAAGATAATATTAAGCTGCATATTGTAGAATAATTAGTTGTTTTTTTGTCATTGTGTTAAGTATCAATATTATGATGCGATAGTGGATTGATAGATACATTGGTTGTAACCCCCACAATGTCTACTAAACGGCTAGATATGTGTTGGAGTGGATTGCCGGGTGTTTCTCTAGTATACGCAGCACTTTCGACAAGTTTGATGTCAATGAGATAAAATTAACGAAGTGTAAGGTAATTTGATGTTCCAATCATTCATCTGTCCCTTCTCCTATCTATTCAAGAATATTTTACCCACCAACTGTACCTAAGTTGAAATATTGCGTTAGGTCTAGGGTAGGGGATCCTGCCTGGACATTTCACTAGGTATTACCTGATTTATTCTCAGATCATGAAGATCATAGAATATAGTGGTAGTTGCGATAGGAAACTGGAAGACTTGTTCCCACTGATCGGAAGTCAAATATAAGCTCTGGTTGAGTAGCCGTAGGGAGTCAAGCATCAGGTCATGAGAATGAAGTAATGCCATTATGATACCACCTCCTAGTTTAGCTAAGAATTTCTGAAATTAGATAACAATACCCCAGACCTTCAGGACCGAAAAATTTAGTTCGAGAGCAAAGGTTGGCCAGAGCTTAAGTACATAAATGCATTTAATGAATTGGTCTCGTGTCAGTCGTCTATGTGCTATGGCCCATGGCGGAAGAGTAAGACCATGCCAGACCAATTTGACTGGGAGTCTAAAGCCTTTCTCTTGCAGTACACCTTACGTTAAGCTGGATGATTGGTTTTCAAATATTGTAAAAGGCCCTCTGGTAATGAAATCCGAGAAGAAATGATGATATACTCCCTAAAGGTGCCTAGGAAATCCATTCTGCTTTCGATCGCCCTCTGCGCCCAGTAGGTTCCTTCCAACCAATATGTGACTTATCAAACTTGAAGGCAGGGGCAAGAATCTTTAGGTCCTCTTCAAGGCCGTATTCTTTGCCACTCATTTCCCAGAAATACTCTGCGTGTTTGAACATGTCTGGGCGAGTTCGCTTGAGCGACGCATGCGTTTTCGCGACCAAAATGGGCATATCGTCAAAGTGGCGAGGTTTGAACTCTGGATCACGAGCGAGTAATTCGGTCTGTTGCTCCTTTGAGTGCAAGCCAAGTTGGTAATACCACATGTTGAATTGCGTCAAACTGATGTCAATGTCAAATGTTACGTCATCCTTCGTGCGAGCAATCAAGGCCTGGATGGCGGCTACTGCACCAACCAAACCTGTTTGGTAGTCAGAGTTGGCTGTGGCTCAAGGTTAGCGAACAGAACCAGTAATCAGGGCCTAGATCAATTAGACTTACGAAGGAGAGGGACGACGGCTTCGTCGAGGCCAAGGAACTGCCCTTGAAGGTAGGATAGGCCTACCAAACAGTCGCTTATCTGCTGCCAGCCCGATCTATAGGCAAGGGGACCTTTGAAGCCGTAGCAGTTCTCTCGCATGTAGATCAGGTTGGGGTTCAGCTTGCGTAAGGTTTTTGAGTCGAAGCCAAGGCGATCGAGAACCCCAGGGCGAAATCCATCAACGAGAATGTCTGCTCCCTTTACGAGCCCAGCAAAAATGCGCTTCCCCTCTTCGGTTTTCATATCAATGTTTGTGTCCCGCTTTCCAGTTTGCAGGTCTGGCATTGTTGTCGCCATCTCAGGCAGCTTGTCGCAAGAAACACGAAGTACATCAGCTCCTAGGAGACTCAGAAGCTTAGATACAGCGGGAGCTGCGATGACACGAGAAAAGTCAATAATTCGGAAACCTGCAAGAGGTTGATAACTCTCGTGGTCCTTTGTGTCTGGCCAATCTTTCCGCGGTGCGCGGAGTGGTTTTGAATCCCATAGTGGCACTTGGGACATGGCCTTTCCATGTTCACTTGAGAAGAATTCCTCAGGTGTGTAACAGACAACACCTGCCTGTTTGTATTGGTCGTTGGCTACCCGTTCAATCTCCTTGGATTCCCACTGCGAGACCTTTTCGCTGTATATCTTAACAGCTTGCTCATGCGTGGCGTCGGTATCCTGCACGCCCATCATTGCCATCGTAGGGCCCGCATTCATAGAACCGTGGAGGTGGTACCACCGTCCATCCTTTGTGCGGTACACGTTGGTCGTATTGCGTCTGATGGGCTTGCTCATCTGATAAACATCCATTTTGCCAAGCTCTATCGCCATCTGTTTATTCTCAAGAAAATGTTTCCCGCCAATTGTAGGAAGCAAGACGGATTCTAGATAGAGAGTAGCCAAATCCGTGTTGACTTCAACGTCTTGGTATTCGATGCCGTATCTCTCCGCAGCGGCCACATTTGCAGCAGTGGCTACTAGAGCAGTCAATGAGGCACTTGACTCGGTTATTTTCAAAGGGGTAAGAACAAAAGGTTTTTCATCGCCACCGACGAACTTGATCTTCTTAGAAGCTTCAAGGAAGGACGGCGGGAGTCTAAGGCGGGAGTCTGCAAGCAGCACATCTTGCAGGATGCGCGAAGCCTCTGAAAATATGGAATAGTCGCACATCTCAAATTTAGTATAAAATTGATACAAATGAGAATTGGAAAGAAGATATGAAAGGGGAAGTTATTAAAATAAATACCTTCAAGGTGGATATCAACGGCCGAAAGACGCGAGGTAGGTTTTGCTGTGCAGAAACTCCGATCTTGTCCACTTTTATGTTAGGCGCCAAACTCCGAGATGAAATGAATGAGGTAGTTTTAGTGCACCAACCGGTAGGACAAGAGAGCGTAGGACCGCTGGTACCCGCTACTTGGAATGTTGTTGTCAACTTTGAGCTGTTGAGTTGATCACCCCAAATCCGGCACTCGGAGTTATGGCACCCGGTTTTTGTTTTCCGGGACTTGGAGGCTTTGGTTGATGTAAGTATTCGAGCGATCTGTAAAATCCTTAAAACTCCATGGATTCCCATCCATGACTGTCCCGAACTCGACTTGATCATTTTGCCTACCGATCAATTATTGCCAACGATAGTGACAACGGACCTAGCACAAAGAACGTCTCCTAACTAAGTTACCGATTTTTGGCATCTCAATATCTCTTGGCAGAAATTACCATCAGTCACCATGACATCAGCCATGAATTGGAGAGCTGGAGAATTTGGTTCACGACCTGTACGGGTTGCGAACTGTTCGGGCTACCACGGTATGGACCCTGGATAGCCGACTTGACGACAATAGGCTAATAGAACGCACATAGGCGACCCAGCTGAGGAAATGTATAACCAGGCCACGCTCGGCGATGTCGACTTCATAACCGGTGACTACCTTGCAGGTGTGTCTTCCCCGCCTTTGGGGGTAACCTTGTCTTGGCATGTACTAACAATGTAAAGAGGTCAATATGGCCAATAATGCGGAGGCTTTCGCGCAGGGAAAGCATTCTGGCTACGAGGAGACGGCTTGGCAAGGCCTCAAACAGACTTTACCTGTCATAGCACAGAAGCGGATCAAAGTCGCCATAAACGGTGGTGCCCTTAATCCTGGAGGCCTAGCCACCAAGGTTGCTGCCTTGGTATGTATTTCCAAGACATCCCCGAAAGATAAAAGCTAAGATATTCAAGATCGGGGAAAGGGGGTACGAATTAAAAGTCGCCTACGTGTCAGGAGATAATGTTCTGCCGAAACTTGGCGCCTTCATGCCGGAACAGAAGGACGCCTCCTTGCCTCATTTCGACTCCCAAAACAAGAATGTTGTCATCTCTGATGAATCTTTCATCTTTGCACAAAACGGAAAGGAACCCCGGAAAATAGTATCTGCAAATGCCTACCTGGGCGCTCATTCAATCTATCAGGCTTTCCAGAATGGCGCCGATATTGTCATTTGCGGTCGGGTTTCCGACGCCAGTCCGGTCATTGCATGTGCTTGGTATTGGTGGTCCTGGAAGATTACAGATTATCATGAGCTGGCCGGTGCTCTCATCGCTGGACACTTGATCGAGTGTTCATCGTACGTGACTGGGGGAAACTTTGCCGGTTTCGATGCGTTTGATGTCGACAACTTCATCAACCCTGGATTTCCCATCGCCGAGATTGCTCAAGATGGGTCCTGCGTCATAACCAAGCATGAAGGCACAGGCGGCATGGTGACTATCGATACGTGTAGATCTCAGCTAGTCTACGAGCTTCAGGGCAACGTCTACCTTAACAGCGATGTTAAAGCGTATATTGATGATGTCAGGATGGAGCAAGTTGGAGAAAATAGGTGAGTTATCAGTCCAAATGCCGAGCACTCTTTGGCTGAACGCTCTTCAGGGTCCGTGTCACTGGAATTCGTGGTGCTCCACCTCCAGATACCACTAAACTTGCCGTCTTTTATAATGGTGGACATGAAGTCCAGCTATTAGTTAATGCTACGGGCTACGCTACTGGCAAGAAGTTTGAACTTTTTAGCAGGCAAGTTCGATACTTCATGGGCGAAAAAGTCTTGAACGAACTTGATATTTTTGAAGTCCAACAGTATGTTGCCTCCTCACATCAAAATGACCCTTGATCTCTCTTGACACGAGTAAAGAATCGGCGTTCCCGCATTCAATCCTGCGAATCAGAATAGCAGCACCGTCTACTTTCGAATATTTGCCCAGTCAACCAATCTTCGGGCCCTCGGAGCAATTGCTGTTGCTGTCAGGCATATTTCCTTGAAGCACTACTCTGGTACGTGAGAGCTCATCTATATTACAAATGGCTAGAGCTGACCAAATGTTCTTCAAGGCTTTCACAACTCGTTGGATATGCGCACTGCGATTCCTCGACCTTATCTAGCTTATTATCCCGCTTTGTGGCATCAATCTAACCTCAGCGAGCAGTGTCATTTCGTCAACGCTGACGGCACGACCAGCTCCTTTGACACGTCGCCGCCTCCCCGTTTTGAGCAGCTAGAGCAACGCGAGTCTTATGACACAAAGTCCCCTTCACACTTCACGGGCGATCTTCGCCAAATGCGATTGGGTGACATCGTTCTGGGTCGCTCGGGCGACAAGGGTGCCAATTTGAACTTTGGCTTGTTCGTCCAGGGACAGGATGAGTGGGAGTGGCTCCGTTCTTACATGTCTTGTGCTAAAGTTCAAGAGATGCTCACCGACGACTGGCACCCGGATTTTTCAATTGAGCGAGTCGAATTTCCTAAAATCTACACGGTCCATTTCGTAGTCTACGGTATCCTTGGCCGGGGTGTGAGCAGCTCAAAGCGTTTGGATGGTTTTGGCAAAGGCTTCATCGATTACTTCAGAGACAAGACTGTCCAAGTCCCCGTGTCTATTCTGGACAAGGCAGCGTCTTCCAAGTTATAAGTAGTGGTATTTTATACCTATTGATAAGAACGATCCGTCTTTTCCGAGAATCATCTGATAAAGAAAGGACACCCACGATGTGACATGAGTAATACCATTGATTAGCTAGTCTATGCCAAGTTTGGGAATTCATCCAATATGTCACCTACTTCGACTTGCAGGGGGCTTAGGAAACCGTCTAGTTGACGAATAGCGAATCGGAGTTTTGGGCGTCGGAGTTTTGAACATGCCAAAGACCCGGTTATGCTCGAAATGCCGAGGCTTCCGGAATCAACGAAAGTGGGGGTTTTACTACCATTACTCACTAGGTTCCTCGGTGCTTGGAGATGGGAAATGTGTTCATCATCTTTCCCTGGCCCTCGGGGAACTCAATGAATAGGGGGCAAGGCCGGCTAAAATAGTCAAGGAACAAAGTGGAAGATGTATGGGGATCGGCGCAGACGTTTTGCAAAGGTGCGGTTCCCTCTCAGTCTTTTTCTCGCATGGAAATCACAGCTTAATCCGGTCAAAAAGTAGGCTTGTGATCCTTGTCGCCAAAAGAAACTTCGTTGTGATGGGATACGACCAGAATGCACTCGATGCCAGGCTGGACAGCTCTCATGCCATTATGCTGACGTCCGTAAGCCACAACGCCGCCGTACAAGAGGCTCCCTGCAGAACCCTTCAACCACATTGGGCGAGCCCGGTGGCAACAGCATGGGTAAGAGCCATACTGGTATCTCGGAATCACAGATAAGTTCCGATGGTTCTTTGAATATTTCTCCTACCGTGGTAAATCAGCTGTCCTCTCCTGGGACCAGTGCCCCTCATCATGCCCCTTCAGCGAACAGCCCTCGAGCATCCAGTGCAGATCCTCTCACACCAGCTACTTGCTCGGCAAGATCTGATACCGTGGTGGGCAGCACTGGTGATATGCGATACTTTGGTATATATTGAACCTTTGTCATACACTGCGTGTGTATTCAATTCTTGCGTCTAACAATTCTATAGGGCCACCCTCAGGAGTTTCACTTGCGTCCATCGGCACAAGTCCAAAGCCAGTACCATGGACTTCAGTGCCCCCCAAAAATCCTTCCCCAAATGAGTCTTGGTCTGCATGGACACACTCCTCTATGCAAAGAATCTTTGCAACGCGACCAGAGAAACCCTTGCCGCCATGGAAAGAAGCTTTCTCACTCGTGAGCGAGTTCTTCGACCAAGAACACCAAGCCATACCTTGTTTCCACCAGCCAAGTTTTATCACACTATTAGGGCAACACTATTCTGGAAAATCCGATCGAAATCCTGCTTGGCTCGCGTGCCTTAATTCCGTCTTGGCAATATCCCAGCGTCGTCGTGTAGAAAGGGGTCAGGATTCACTGGAAAAAGAGAAGCTTTCCTGGGATTATGCGGCCAACGCGATGGGAAATCTTTTGGATATCCTCATGCGCAACACTCAATTGCTCTCTGTCCAGGCTCTCTTATGTATGGCCTGGTTCTTCGTGGGCACACCGAATCCTCAACCTAGCTTCATGTTGACAGGGAGTGCCATGCGATTGGCTCATTCCATTGGGCTTCATACAAGCTACGAAGATCGATCTTGGGATTCTGTCGAGGTCGAAATGAGAAAACGGGTGTTCTGGATCGCTGTATCTCTGGATTCGGAGCTCTGCCTTAGAACAGGCAGGCCTCCTGCCCATAGTCTCCATGATTTCCACGTGGAACTGCTTTCGGATAATTTACATAACGGCGATAGTGATATAATCACCATTTCCAACGGCTCGCTTCTGAATCTTTTCAGCGCACAATGCCGGTTAGCCATGATCCAAGGCGAGATCTATAGAGCTCTATTTTCTAGTCATATACCCTCCATGGACAGAAGCTGCATGGCCGATTCTGTTTCATGTCTGACTCTGAAACTAGAAGCCTGGGCTTCTTCAGCTTTTCCATCTTTCGACATGAACCAACCCTTGCAGAGGCCTGAACACCAAGGATTGATGCGGCTATGTTATGTCTACCACAACTGCGTTATTGTGACAAATCGCGGTCTAGGGCTTCAATATTGGACATCGCGTAGCCAAGTAGATTTCTCTGCTCTGCCTTCGACGACCAAGGTTTCCATCCACCGATGTTTGAAAGCGTCCAGAGCCATTTTGGGCTTAAATATGGTTATGCCTCTTGGATGGAGGAGCTACTATTGGTAAGCTTTGTTATTGGCCTTCTCGTTCAAGTAGTTTTAACTCGGTCCTAGGGATGTAATTGGCATCATCTCAGGCGCCATCATCATTCTTTGCATCAACGCCCTCCGCCAGCCTGAGGAACTTACGGCAGCGGAGGACTTGCGTGCTGTAAGTGGCACATTCAAGTTGCTCGATCTCTTCGACGAGGAGAATCCCAATACGTATCTTCGCCCCCTTCGATTAGCGTGTGAGCAGATGTATCGAAAAGCCCAAGCCGCTGCTCACGTTCACGTGGGAGAACCAAGCCCATCATCTCAATCGGGCGCTTTATATCCAAGTGGCAGTGGAGAACTTTCAATAGACATTCACCAAGGCTGCGACCGGCTTCGGACTGATGATAGGCGCCTTCAAACTCCGAGGGAGCCTCACATCACTGAGTCTAGCTCTAGCTCGAGAAATAACTCGAATTCTCAATGGGACTTTACCCCCGAGCAATCATTTATCTATCCTTCACTCACCCCATGGAGCATGGATATGCTAATGAATGACTCGTTTCTTAATTTCTACTAAAGAAGGATCAGCGTAATTGCTGCCAGGCAGTCGCGCCTGAGCATTGCTTGAGTTATGTCTGCAATCATTTAGCATAAATACATTCAACCCTGGCAGTGTATCATCAAGACACTTAGTTAAAATTAGACTATAGGTCGTGAATGGATCTCGCAAAAGAATCAAAAAGACCAAGAATATTAAATGAATTGTCTATCTACTCAAGGGGCGGCTAAAGGGCCTGTTTAACCTGAGAGTCAAGATGTTCCATTGAGCAGTCACCGATAGTACATAAGATTACCATTTCATTTTACATTTCTAGCGTAATTATGTAACAGGAAGGAATGAAAGGGAATGCCCGAGGTAAGCTAGCAAAGTATTGGCCGAGCCAGGAGGACATGGCGTATGCATGTCTTGGATGTGCTGACGAAGTCCCGAGAGCAGTACCGCAGCCATTTTCCGTGGTCTTACCCCTCAAGACAAGAAAGAGTACATCCACTCATTACATCACCCGCATGCCTATGCAGGGCGGCTTGGCCTGGTCTTGTTGCGGGCGCAGAGACGAGGTTGCGTCCACTCACATCCAAATGATAAGAATGTGGCCCAAAAAATTACCCTTTCGGGAATGAATGACCATCCCTGTCTCAGATTGAGTTGATAAGCCAAGTTACACGGTTGGGAGGCCGTGTCTCATTGAAAAGTAGCATTTCCCTCTCGCCGGCTGTTCATTGCTCATGAAAACATGAACCCAGTGTGCTCATCATGGCTTCGGACGTCGCCACCATGGCTGTGGACTGGGAGCAGTTCGACAAGACCGACATCCTCTTCATCATCTTCTGCAGCACGATATGTTGGCAGATCATTCCGGCCGTGGGTTTGGCCTATGCCGGCTACTCGACACGCCGAAATGCCATGTCCGCCATCTACACCAGTCTCCTTGTTCTCATCGTATGCACCATCCAGTGGTATCTGATCGGATATTCGATTGCCTATAGCGATGGGAATGGTCTCTTCGGCGACCTGAGCCATGCTTTCCACATTGGCGCTATCTGGGAACCAATGGGCACTATCCCGACTTTGCTCTTCAGCCAATTCCAACTCATCTTCTGTGCTACTGTCGCGGCCATCTCAATTGGAGGAGCATGTGAGCGGGGACGCATGCTCCCGTTAATTCCCTTTCTCTTTCTCTGGGCTACCCTGGTATACTGCCCTCTGGCACACATGGTATGGTCGGACAACGGTTATCTTGGGGGGTTGGGCGTATTGGACTTCGCGGGCGGCACTCCTGTGCATGTATGCAGCGGTGCCACTGCCACAGCATTGTCTGTCTATCTCTCACATCCGCTATTTCGCTCGAGGGCATCGAAGGAGCGAACACCATCGCACCTAAAGCTCCATAAGCCTCATAATAGTCTCTGCCAACTCATAGCCATGGCCACTATCTGGGGTGGATGGCTAGCCTTCGACGCTGGTACCACACTGAGCCTGAACTTCAAGTCCGTCATGGCTTTCGCAGTCACAAACACGTGCGCCGCTTCGGGGGCCATGACCTGGAGCCTTATCAACTATTGGGAGACGGGCCGCTTTTCTCTCGATTCCACGTTCCTCGGCACGCTGTCGGGCTTGGTCATGATCACTCCGGCTGCTGGGTTTGTCCATCTGGGAAGTGCATTCTGTCTTGGCATCGTGGGTGCGTTGATCATTAGGCAAGCACTGCGTATCAAATTCACAGACTTCGCTCGGAAGCTCAAGTGGGTGGACAACGGGGACACGTTTGCTACTCACTGCGTTGGCGGGTTTGCCGCTACTATTGCAACGGGACTTTTCGCAAGCAAAGAGGTGGCTGCATATGATGGCGAAACGGAAATCATGGGCGGTGTGCTCTTTGATGGCAACATTCGCCAGATCGGCATACAGATCATCGAGGCGACATTGGGATTTGCTTGGTCCTTTGGTGTTTCTTACATCATCTATGCCATGATTGATTGCATTCCTGGTCTGGAAGTGCTTGCCAAGGATGAGTATGATTCTCCCATCTCCCAGTTAATAAAGTTACTAATTTGAGTCCTAGGGACGTGCTGAATGGCCTCGACACCCGACAGGTTGACGAATCAATCTACAGCGATCAGTGGAGAGGAGAGGAAGATTATCAACCATTTAAACGGTCGATTAGTTTGTCATAAGGTGCAGTAAGGGCTCCAAACAACAATGATTTGGCTTCCATCGCACTCCTATTCAGCATATGGACATGTGCCTACACAGTTACCTCGACGTTTCTAGTATTCAGAGAATAAAGGGACATTACCAAGATTTACTATTAAACCTCCCAAAAAGTCGTTTCTCACTCGTTGAAAATACTCCCAGTGTCCATGTTTCTCTTTTCCAGGGCTTATATCTCCTTGCAGAAAGTAGTTAAATGAACTTGTAGGGCCTTGGCAGACTCTATAACAAACCACTGGCTAAATCGTTTCTTCATCTCATTTTACATGGCGATCTTCTCTTTATAATTCTGACGATCAATACATCATGTCCCATGGATGAGATAACACACGAAACTCAATTGACAACACGCTGCAAACTACAAACTACCTATGTAGCACTCCAAATCCCTAAACTAACCGACATACTGCCATCTTGACTCGGTAGCACTTGTCAAATCTCAACAATTAGTAGTGGCCCCCGAAACCTTGCAGTACGTGCCATCCGGCCCAGACCCAATCTTGCTCGGCTCACTGCCATCCGAGTTTCCAGTGTAGCGGTCGCAAGACTTGCCATCGTCTTGGCAACAGTTCGTCATGACGCAGGTGTCGCCATAATTAGTGTTGATGCCGCAAAGCACACCACCGTCAACAGCAACCACGTTGTTCATGATGATGTTACGAGGGCCGCCGTTGCCGGAGCAGTTGCCGCAACTTCGCACCACCTTGCCGTAATCATTGGCGTAGAAGTTCTGGATCTGGACTGTGCCCCTTCCGTTGAATTGGATGATCTTGTCTGCAGCCTTGAATGCACCTCCGCCATTAACGTAGGAAGTGCCGCTGGATTGCTTGAGCGTACTGCGCGATGATCCTGGTTAGATTTGAGGACACAACAGCGCGCGTCAGGAGAATTGACTTACAGAGCGTCTTCACAAACATCGGCCCACCAGACGTTGTTGAGTGTACTGGAATACTCATCAGTATATTTCCTCGAAAAACCAGAGGGGCGGTATAACGTACCATGTTCCCTTGCAGTGCACGCCCTCAGCCTGATCAGGTCCGATAATCACGTTCGAGAGGGTAGCACCATCCTCCAAAACAAACATTGCGTCTGCCTCTCCGGTTTCGTCTTGCTCTGCACAGACCTTGGCTATATTTCCAGAATACGAAAGATTCAATTAATCCAACATTGAAGAGACATGTTTTTTTGAGCAGTTCAGGTGACTTACGGCTGCGATCATACTTCTTCATTCCACCGTCGAATGAACCACTCACCGTGATGGCCTTGCTGGTCGACGTGGCTCCTGCAGAGGCAGGCAAAGTCGTAGTGACGCCAGTTGGAACCGTGCCACCACCCCCAGTGGTCGTGGTCTTGGTCGTGGCTGTAGCTGTAGCCGAGGAAGCGCTCCCGCTGTAGTGGCAGGAACACTCAGCAGAGATCATGCTAGGTTTGTTGGAGCAGTTTGTCGCCCATGATGGCAGCGAGGTAGTTGCGGTGACGGTGCTCTTTGTGAACGTTGCGCAGAAAGGAGAGGCGGTAGCCGAATTGGACTTGATGTAGCTAGCGCATGAGTTGCTGGTAGGGTTGAGGCACCCCAGAGCGAGAGGGAAGAGCAAAAAAGCTGCAAGAGACTTCATGTTGGAAGATGAACCAAATATGAGTAGGTATGTGTCGTTGACTTTGAGCGTAAGGCCTTGGCATGGAACGATTTTGAGCAAACAAAGTTCAGAAGAGGGCAAGATTGGCGGCACACGTCTGATTTATATTTGCACGAAATTTCTCTTTCAATGTTGTAATTCTACAGTAAATATGATCTTCCACTTTTCGGCTCTCGATATTGTCATGTCAAGAACAACAGCGAAATGCCTGAATAGGAAAATGCGGAGGTATGACGGAAGGAGAAACTCAAGCAATAGGGTTGCAACATTCCACCAATCCTAGCCAGCAGCCTCTCAGTGATGAATCCGGGTCACGCCAAAGTATAAGCATACTTGTATAAATTAGACTTCCACCCGGGTTTGTTCCGGCGGAGAATCCTCCCACACGGATATGTCGGCGCCCATTTCATTTACCGCATCGTCAAGGGGGCCGCCCTTGGTAGCTTATCATCTCGCTGGTTACATCTCTATTCGTGGAAGATATACGCCCTGTCGGTGGATTGTGTGCCCCAAATTGTACCTGAATGGATTGACAGCCTCTCTAGGAATCGATATTCTGCTTCTTCAGTCACAGATGATACAACATGCCCATGTTCAGCCATTCAAAGCGATGTGTGTCATGTCAGGGGTCAACGGAATATGCAGGATAAGAAGTCAAATCCTGTAGGATGAGTATTCGGGGGATAGATAGAGTATGAAGTTAAAAAACAGCAATAGAAGATGCCAAACGTAGGATGAGTATTCAATCGTGGAAAAAATTATTCGGATAGTAAACAAGTGATGTACCTTGGTACATAAGAAGAAAGAATATATACAACAAAAGACAGTAGCCATCCAAACAATAATTCGCGTCATTCAGCCTGGCCCACCTACTGATGGCCGGGTACCTGCATGCCTTTTTGTGGCTGATAGGCCTGCTGGACCGGGCCTGAGGAAAGGAGTCGCTCTTTCACTTCATTGTCGTTCTGGATGGTTGCACAGCAGGGGCACCAAAAGGAAGTGCAGCAATCGCCACAGCCGCTTCCCTGGATGTTGTACTGCCCTCGGATGTCTCCTCGTCTAACCATAGTGAAGATCCAACTGCATCCAATGACGTGTAGCAGGCCGTAGACAGCACAGTCGCCATTACACATATCAGGGGATGGGTTTGAGGGGTCTTCACGCCTGGATTTTGTGCGGCCGGCAACTAGCAACAGACAGTAAGCATCGAGTAAGAGTGAAGATGGTTCGGCGGCATTGGTGCAAGGACATACTCAGGCAGGGCAAGAAGGTGCCCAGCAGACAAGATCCACATCCGCAACCGCAGAGACTGCTTTGCCATGACTCAGGCATTTTGGACAAGGGTGGCGTGGTTTGTTGATGAGCTCTGGTGCTTGATTGTTCGTTGGGCAGGGACCGCTAAAGCGTAATTCTTGCGTCGAAGTTCTGTCACTGCCTTCTGCAACCGCTTGCTGAGGAGATAGGGTTGGGAACAAGAGAATGGGAAGCCAAGGGTCATATATATATGCTGGTGAGCAGTTGGTTACGAGTCTCCTCCAAAAATAGCTAATCCTTCCGTTGGTCGTGGTCATGGCATGGCTTATCACCAAAATCCCCACGCATAAGCTCAAACTGCAGGCTATGCTCAGCCCTCCAGATTTTTCCAAGGGTGCGTTGCGCTCAAAAACCCACTTGTCAATACCATTCAACACTAGTACACTGCAGGGAACGGTCAATCTCTCCCATTCAAGAGCTATACTTGGGCGTTTAGCCACTTCAATTGGACCAGCCACCCCTGTTGGCGGCGCGGGAGTTATATATAAACACTGGCAAGGCTGATGGGAGCCAGAAGTCCAGCCCGCACTACGTACTCAGCCACGGCCATTCTCGGCTGCCGGACCACGTAATTTTCTCGTCTGTAAGCACAAGTTTCATGGTCAACGCTAAGAAGGACAGGCACCCACGTCCATACAGGGAAGATTTTGCTGTCCCGTGCGAGTCAGATTACCCATCGATGGCTTTTCCATGCCAAAATAAGCAGCATGGTGCGCGTTCATGCAATATCCACCAAACGCGCCAAGCCAAAGTCCTCGTTTGCATGTGCACACAGACTTGTCAAAACCAATACCCTTCCTCTGCAGTCACGTCAAGGGCTTTCAGATGGGACAAGATTGCTCATCGCGTGTCAATTGAGCATTTCTTATCCTTCAGAAAAAAGAAGCAAAAATAAGGAACGAATGAAAACATAGGGGGATGGACGGACAGCCCTTCACCCCATGATAAATTAATCTTACCTACCAGGCAGAAGTGGGCCTTTATGACAGGCTGACTGAACCTCTACCCTGAAGCTTTTGGCTCGCAATGTTGATACTGGTTTTGGCACAGGAGATAAGCTTTACGGAGTAAATTCTCTTGACATCGCTTCACGGTCGAGTGCCTGAGCCGACCTGGATTTTACAGTTCCTTGGACACCAGCAAGAACTTCAACCCATCCGGTCTAGAGGAGCACATGCACACTGTGAGCAATTGTAAATACGAGCTAGTGTCTTGGATTTTACTGAGCAATGATGGTAAAATAGCTACGAAACAGGTGAGATTTTTCGCCTAAAGAATCAACTGTGCCCAATCTATACATATTTTTCACACCGAAGAGCCTTGTTGGTACTATGTGGGTCTGGTGAATCTGAGAACATGGGCCAAGTGGCTGTCAGAATAACAGGGACTGCAAAGGCATCGTCATCCCAACTTTCCAATACAGGTCACGATATTGATAGATAATAGTTGATAATAATCATAATAAATTTTGAAACAATTATGAGACAATTTTATCTACGTATCACTACACAATAGGAGGCACTATTATGTGACTGACTACCACAACGCTTCTGTCCTTGGGAGCATGGAAATGCCCGAAAATGTCATCTAGGAATATAATAAAGCCAACACAGAACCCGATAACTCCATCCCAGACCGATTGGAAAACCCGGTTCTAAGCGTTCTCACACCTTGAGAGCAGAAAGATGAGGCCAAAGATACAGGCAAAATCCCTAAGAATTGTAATACCCCTCGCGCGAAATGAGGGCGAGGTGCTCACCGTAATTATTTTAATGGCTTCTTTAATGCCCAAGAGGGCCTATAAAACATCCCAAAGGATCACCAAAACTTCATCTTCAAATTCCGTCATAATCATAGTGGGTGGTGGTTTCGTACTGGGAGATATATATAGGCAGTAGTTGATATGATGGTACTAATAGCTGCTTTGATAGGTATAATTAGTTGCTTGTATGATAATTAGAGTAAAGCAACTATAAGCTAGAACAGGGGTATAGTAGTTCTATATTAGAGCCTAGTACTTTCTTTACCTACTCTCATGGGCTTGGGCGTGGCAGTTGCGTACCTATCTAGTGCGCCACATTGTATTTTTCCGAATAGATCGCCAATTCCGCATGAGACAAGTTGATAGCCTCTGAGCCTAGCAAGTCTGATATATTGAATGTGGCTTCGCGATAATCCAAACGGCCATTGATGGCTTCAGCTCGACAAAGAATTCAGGAACGGTCGAGTGGTGTTGGAAACATTTTGGTATCCGCCATGTCGGATCAAGATGCCATTGTCTTCTTGAATGATTCCGATTAACTAGATGTATATGTAGTGCCGATGGTCCAACCAACTAACACCGCAGCCGTGCCTCAAGAAGGATGCAATTGTGACGCGAATCTGGGGCACGAAGGATAACATAACCAAGCGCCGAAATGAAATCTAATAACCATATCGTAAATCAGGGCGTTTTTCGTTTGTCGTTAAATACTAATACTCGCATATGATTCGTCTGAAGAAGATGATATGGGATTTTTTACGAGCCTTAAAGGCTACTGAGAAGAAGGTAGTAAAGAAAAGCGCGGACGTCAAACTTTCTAGACTTAGGTGTCAAGTTTTCCAATGTCGGGCAACCTGAAATCTAAATACGCGTAGATAAATAACCTAGTTTAAATGATATCAATCCTATTCTTATCACGCAAATACGGATAGCTAATTGATTGACACCCCTACTTCGAGCACAATCCAGGTATCTGGGCTAAACTCAAAGATGTTGCCGAGACGGAGACCGAGGGCATGTGTGGACCATAAGTTTCAGCAGAAAATATCATATAATCGGTCAAGAAACGAATTGCTAGACGACTAAGAAGTCTGAATACCGACATATAAACGTGCTTATTAGTCGATGGCGGTTAGATTATCATCATGGTGATGGCGGCGGAAGCCGATGAAAAGATTTTGTGATGTTGGAGCAACCCCATATTACGGAACTTGTACGATGCCGAGGCTGAGATTGTCGTACAATATTTATCTGATGTTATTGTCAAACCCTCCGTGACAGGATCTAGCTCGTGAGGACCAACCGCAAATATGCGAGATAATGCATTATCACTGGTTGCTTAGCAGAACGAGAAAACTCATCACGGTCTATACAAAATGTATCAAGACCTGTGCCATATGATTCCAGCAAACTCAAAGCAAAATAACTAAAGTCAGGCAAAGCGTATCGTCAGGATGCCAATCTCCCAGGAGCTTCAACCTTGACTCTGTCAGGGTTCATGAGTGATGGGTAACATTGATCTTGAGGTTTGATATATGCAACGAAGCCACTAACAAATATGCTGGGAGGGCTACTATTTCAGTGGTGCCTATTTGTTTGTACCTACAGTCGTGAAAGCGCCGTCGCCCTTCGTCGCCCAACAATGGAAGCGCACCTGGGATGTTGGCCGATATGTCGGCAAGATCATCGTCGCCGGCACCCCCGCGAGCTTTGCGTACTTTGCACACAACGAAGTCGCCAAGACTGGGAACACGCGGTTTCAATTTTTTGTGCGGCTTGTGCTATAGTCGGCGCCATTGCCCCCTTCACTCTTATCTCTTCCTACCGATTTACTGAGGCTATCAGTGATCGATTGGGGGAGATCAATTGTAGCGCTAGGCAGGCTGAAGGGGAAAAGAATCCAAAGATCTTGCCATTGAATCGGGAAGACTCGATTATTGCCGTTCACCGATTGCCTTTGCTGGAAGAATTGTCGGGGTTAGCGGCTTCTTGGTCTCGAATAGAGCAGAGACGGGAGAGTTTAAGATTCACTTATCAACCAAGGTCTATTGTTTCAGTATATGCACACCAGAACTATGTGATTACTTCTCCTCACCGATGCCTATCATCTTCCCCATGACCGGGATCATGCGTTCTCTGGCCCTCATCTGATTGTTAATTCATCCAACTGTCCTACTTCGGTAATTTCTTCTGTATCTTTACGCTGCTCAAACCCGTGATCACTCAGAGGCTTGTCTGTCAGTCAGACCACAAGTTTTCTACTATCCATTTCAAGATAAAGGAAGGGTTCACGTTAAAAGCGCGGATGACGTGTTCTCTCGACCTTGAATGTACTTTTATAATCGCCAGCACATCTCTTATCTTTCAGCAACCCATCTCTCGAGAAGAAATTAGCCGTAGGGTATTGATTAATGTGCTTTTTTTTTCACACAAACTTTCTACACTACCAAGGTAATAGGGCATGTGCCGCTGAAATTCAGTATGCCGCCGACACCTCGCAGTCTGCACATCTTCATCTCTGTGGAATGCCACGGAGAACCACTAAATTCCCTATAATACAGCCTAGATGCTCGTTGTGTTGAGATGTCGGGCCTGGCATCTTCTATTGTTATTTAACTTTGTACTCGAAATCTCTCCCGTACAACCTAGATGCGGTGCGGGATGCCATAGCACATACAGAGGTTCTAGCCAACACGAAAGAAACAAGGAAAGGAGTACGCCTACACCGGGCATCACAACACAATCCATCCATGTTAAAGGTCCGCGATACTTGACTTTAGGCGTCGCCTTTTATCGCCTTATCGCACGCACATGAGGCCATCATATTAAACATCAGAACATCACAAGATGTATAACTCAGTTTTGCGGCCGAGAACTAGAGTTACAATGATGAGGCAATGGGGTGAGTGATGATACCTTGCACTGGTGCTGGGTTGCTGCTTTGCCATCTTACAGGTACGTACATCTAATGGAAACATGGTGTAAGTGACCAACCGCCATTGCTTGGAGGACCTGATGTACAATATTTGGTATCCTATGGCTTAGAAGTGTAATTGGTGTTACTGGAGATGGAACGCCATCCCCAGTGTAGAGACAGACCCTGGGGGATAATGCGCGAGTGGTGTTTGCTAGCCACAATGATGCCAGGCTGTGCTGAGACTAGCAGTAATGGCGGCAGGTATTCTTAGAACCAAGCAAAGGCTGTGAGGCGATTGGCCGTGTGGTGATTCATGCAAGGCGAAGGTGAGCAGGGATGGACTTGGGGATAGGGCTGGCCATGCATAAGATCTCTTTTTTCAACTCTAACGGACCCGATATAGCATCCCCTCTTGGCCCAGCGGGATGGAGACGTAAATAAATTGACATGCCACAGGGCTGGCTCTTGGGGGCCGGGCGATTTGTGTGCCGTGCATAAGGCCCTTGATCGCCTCGATGTTTGCTGCGAACTGCCAGCGGATTGGCCGGTTCCGATCGGGGAGCTGCCATTGTTTGCGCCGTCGCCTAATTTAGGGGTCAGCTGGTGGCACGCCTTGCGGGTTATTCTTGGCCCCCGCGCGTTGTTGGTCCTTTGCGTGTTCTTGATGGCGGAAAACCAATTGATGGCAGTTGCCTGGTGACAAACACCCAAAAGTCCCTTTATCGTTCGCGTCACGTGCTGCGACCGGCACTATCTTCAACCACCAACCACCGGCATCAACCTGAAACCTACAAACCAACGCCAACGCCAACTCGCATCTGAGGCAACGCCGCCCATATCGCTCAATTGTGCACCGCCCCCTCCCGCAGGAGCTGCCTTGGCCGCCTCGACCGCCACCATGACTCCTTCGCCTCCGTCTCTGCAACCCCTGGCCTGTGAATATTGTGGCAGCACTGCCAGCCTCCTCCGCTGTACTGGCTGCAAAGCAGTGTACTACTGTAGCCGGGCACACCGACAAGCACACCATGCTTACCACAGGACCGCGTGCGAGGCCGTCGGAAGCGCCTTGGCCGGTGTCATTAAGGAGGAAATTCCATTCCGCGCCACCTTCTTCAATGGCCGCCACCCAACCATTCCTCGCAACCATTTGCCTGAGGCCCGGAGGTACGCAGCTGCCCGGAGGTGGTGGATCCTGGTCCTTCTGGAGAATTTTGGGCAGGCAGGGGGGCGGCGGCATGTTGTCGAGACTGCTCTGGAGCACTGCCTGGAGGTGATGCGCGAGAAGCAGGACGACATCTCCGAGCTTGGACGCTTCGTACCTTCGCTTCTAGTTCGCCTTGGCAGGGACCAGGAGGCGTATGACTTCATCAAGTGGTATGTCGCGGTGGAGCACGGCTGGGGTTGGGGAAATTCGACGCTTGGATATTTGGGTATCAAAAATGCAGATGTTCTCGAGTATCCCGAATTCGAGATGGAGAACCGACATGAGACATGGCCAAACCTAACCAGCGACTTGAACTTCTTCATGCTATCCACCTTGATTCTCGTCAAGATGCGAGTCCTCGATGATCTTCGGAATGTTCAGAATGCCTTTAGGGCACTGCAGGGTTACGTGGTCCCTGAGATTCTCGAACTTGTCCAAGCTCATCTTCTCAGTGGGGCTCTTAAATCACGACATGAAATCCTCAGGCGCTCTACAGATGATAGATCTGCCCTGATACTGCAGTCCAAAATCCACATCATGGCTCTCTTTGATGCTGCTGAACAACATCATCCCACAAGCTGGAGGCTGATGAGAGGGCAAAGGGTGGCCAATGCCTCTCCAGAGCCCGAATCGGATGCTTTGTGCAGCCGCTCTTCGTGGCTGGAGACTCATGGCGCATTGGAAACTCTGAACCGTGCGGCCGAGCGGCGTGAAAAGAAGTGCGGATATCTCTCGTATGAATACATCACAAACAATGGCCGAAAGAGACTGGTGGCCAAGGATGAGGCCACGTCGGCCCTAGCTAGTTCATAGTTGCTACATAAATTTCAAACAACGGATCGAATTATGATTTAACACTGTAATTATTCCAAGTCCTCTGCGATGATGTCTATGTAACGACCACTAGCGTAATGGCGTGATCCAAGAGCAATTCAGATATCCTGGGGCGAGCACCACGGTGACCAAGTGTAAAATTAACCCATGCTAATTAGTATTGATGTACTTTTAGACTACAAATCTTGAAATTTCTCCGGTAGTGACGTAGTGACGTATTGTGTGTCACCACGAGGTTTGCTAGCTCGTGTTCCTGAAATCGCGTCCTATCTTGCCGCATTCGGTAATAACCACTTTGACTCGAAACTCATGGCAACTCCCCGAGGCGTACACGTAAGATCGGCCTCCAGCCAGGCAACCTATCACGACTCAATATCGAACAGATTCGAGAATTGGGCAATTCTAATTTAATCTATAGTCTGTTGGTGATGAATTCGGCAGTACCGCCCGAATGGCGAATGCCTTCTCGAATGCCTTAGACTCAGTATTTAAATCCAAGATGAAAGCCCGTCCTCAGCACCCATCAGTATCATTCCTACAGCATCTCTTGATTAAAACTCGCCTTGATTCTTTATACCAACAAACTAGAAAATCTCTCCAAATTCCCACAATGCAGTTCTCCGCCCTCGCCATCGCAGCTCTTGTGCTGTCTTCCGGTGCATCAGCCACCCACCGAGTATGTTCCAGCGAGTTTCCCGGTGCGTTTGAAAGGCTCTAATCCATTTTTTAGGTTGATCTTCGATCTCCAAAGCTTCAGGGCCCCCAGCCCTTTCCATGGCGTGCGACTCATGTCCTTCGCGCCGGGTTTGGCCAGGTTGTCATCCCTTCCGTCATTACCCAGCTTCCTAAGCCTCAGTGTAAGTAAATAACGGTTTACCAAGTTAATTAAGAGCCCTGATTAACCCTTATATGGCAGGAGGAGACACAGGACATGGCCCCTCTGGGATGCAATTAGAAAGTGACAGGTTTCACAGCCGCAGGGCAACTATAGCTCGGCCGATTTATTTAGGCTGAGCCCACACATACTAGCGCTGGAACGCTAGAAATGGATTTTTGAATTCGAATAGAAGGGAAGGCGAAGACGGCGAGAGCATTGTGTCTAGCGAGCCAAGGGTTTTGACTGGGTGATTTACCAGGTCGCGGCGTGGAGTCTTCATCTTTTACGTTTTTGTTTTTTATTTAAGAAATTATTCCTTCATTATGTTACAATACAGATTATATTATTCCTACAAACTATTATATTTTTGAATGTGCTTTGAGGTTTATTTCATTGGGGCTCTCTCCAGCCCTCCTGCCTTCAGGTCTGGAATCAGTCTTGTCGCACTCATATGATCACCATTAAGTTATGTTATAGTGGAATTATATTTCATGCTTGGTGCTTCCTTTTTGTATTTAATAAAAGAGATAATCGGGAGTATCAAGTGTAGAGTTCAAGACGATCTACTCTACCGCCCGCTGATCGGTGAGTTTCAAAGAAAGCTGCCTATTCGCTGTAAACTTCGCTCAATTTTATAAAGCTTCACACACGTCTACATGAAATGATTCAAAAAGCAGCTTGCCCGACATTTTCCTGCCAATCTCTGCTAGATATTCGGGGCCGCTCAATACATTCCGCCTCCAACTGGGAATACATGCCCAGTAATCCATCTGGACTTTTCAGAGGCCACAAATAGGGTGACATCGGCGACATCCTCGATGGTTCCAACTCTGTTAGCGGCACTGGACTTCTCGGCAGCCAGGCCCATCACCGTGGTCCTAAGATCTTCATCCAAGTTCAAAGGCTGATCTGTCATCGTGAGCCCCGGTGCAACGACGTTCACAGTGATTCCGCTCTTCTTGCCCAGCTGGACCATTTTTTTGTTAGAGAATACTTCGACGTCTATCTTTCTGCGTGAATTTTGGGGTGGCAGAAACTTACTTCCACCGCGAGGGATTTCGTTGTGTGGTCCAATGCCGCCTTGGCCGCCGAGTATATGGGCATACCGGGCACATACGTTATTGAAGACATTGCCCCAATGTTGATAATTCGCCCACCGCGGTTCATATGAGGCACAGCTTCCTGTATCATGTAGATTGCACCGAAATAGTTCAGCTCGAAATCGTTGAGCAAGTCTTGGGGTTTGTAGTCCATAATACTCCCATGAGTCTTGGCGGGACCACCGGCATTGTTGACTACAGAACTTAGCCACTGGCCTAAGAGAAACAGAGCCTTAACGTAACCATGAAGACTACCCAGGAAACATGTACATACCTAAAATGTCAATTGAGCTAACATTGAACTGAGTCATTGCGCTCTGAATAATGTGCTTGGCTCCTGGCCGGCTCGTGATACTGCCCTGAATGACGGCTGCTTTCCCACCAAGCCCTCGGACATTTTCGGCGACCTTGTTTGCTCGGGCCGCGCTGGAATCCGAAACGTAGTTGATGACGACTGAAGCCCCATGTCTGGCAAATGCGTAAGCTATGCCAGCGCCGATTCCATTTTCACGCCCTGAGCCGGTTATTATGGCAACCTTGCCGTTGAGTGAGTACTCGTCAGCCATTTCCTCTGTCTTCGTGGGGAGGGTTAGTTATCAGCACTCTGGAAAACAGTAGAAGGCTTAATCTTTTTATAGCTGAATACAATACAGGAACTGGATTACTATGCAAGTTCGTGCATCACGAAGCAGGGCCGAGAAGCCCGGAGTTAAAGTGATGCATTGCGCCATCTAATACCGACGATGTCTAAGCTTGTTTCCTAATGCTCGAAAATCATATTAAATCACTCCTAGGTACGACCTCACGGGCAGATCCTTGTCTCCCGCGTATGGCGTAGCTGTTGCATTGCCCATTACGGCATCCTGCCGCTGTAATTGTGACGCTGGTGGCATCATATGTACCGTACAACCCTGCAGGACCCGTGTGTTGTTGTCAAATCGCCACTTTTCACAGGTCCAATCTGGCTAGTCTTGCGCAGAGTCCAACTTCGGAGTTTTGGTAGTGATGGCCGAGGCCGAGATGAAAGCGGGTAGACGATATATGATTGAAAATCATCGACCGGTTCGGGACATCAGTTACGAAAAGGGTTTGTCGACCGACCTCTATCGCCCTTCAGTACCGATTTAGCAATAAAGCTTGATATCGAAGCATCTTGTAATCAAAAATTATTTCAAATTATAAAGTAGCGCTGCGTATCCTTCCTAATTGAGATTAATTAAATCCTCGAGAAGAAAACCCATAGCCTGCTTGATAAACACCATCACCCCATCGCAAACTATCGACTGGTGCTGAATTAAAATGCTGGTCCTCATAGCTGGCGCCACAGGAAGCCTTGGCTTTAGGCTCATCGACAGTATCATAAGCAGGGGCCACCAAGTCCGGGTTGTTGCCCGTCACCCCGAGAAGATCAGTGCCGAAAGGTTCAAGAGACTCGAGAGTTTTGTCAAGGCCACGTCGTACTACGACATCCCTGCCCTCGACAACGCTTGCGCCGGCGTGGACGCAGTCATCTGTGCCTACAACGGCGCGCCGTATCTGCAGCTCGATGGGCAGCTCATCCTCTTGCGTGCGGCGGAGAGGGCTGGTGTGCAACGGTTCCTTGCCTCTAGTTTCTGTGGAGATTTCCGGGGCATGCAGCTCGGGGAGCAGGATTCGTATGATGGGTTCCTCTCGTTTGATGCGCAAGCCCGCAAGTCTTCAAGCATCAACCCTAATTACATTTTCACCGGGGTTCTAGGCGAAGTCTTGTTCGCCGCCAAGGACACGATGGATTTCTCTACCAAGCACTATGGCCCCTGGGACCCTGAGAATAAGCGGTTTGAGGTCTGGGGAACTGGCGATGAGACATGGCATTGGACTTGTGAGCATGATGCCGCTGAGTTTGCAGCGCAGGTGATCCTCAGAGACGATGCGGCCAAAGGAGGATATTGGTGTGTGAGTTCTGGAACCGACAGCTTGAAACAGATGGCAAAGATCTATGAACAAGTTAGGGGCGTTCCCGTTAAGCTAGACTTTCTAGGTTCAGTTGAGGAACTTCGTGCACTCGCACTGGATGCTAGAAAGAATGGATCGCCTAAAGCAATGTGGGATTACATCGGACGGTTTTACTACTATCATATTGTGAGTGGAAGGTGGGATATGAAAACCTTAGATAATGAGAAACTTGGTGTTCAGGCGACTCCTTTGGAAGAGTTCCTTCGAGCAAACCCAGATATATAGAGCACCTGATTTGAAGGTGCGAGGCAGGTATTGATCAATAAAAAGCCTTAAATCTGGAGTAATCCTTCTTTGTAGTCTTATTTGAACCCATCATATATCACCCATCAGCCCGTAGGGCTTTTTTTGTTCACTATTTGTGATCAATCAGAGGTGCCTAAAGAAACTCCTGATGAATATCAATCATTTATCACAAACAAGAAACATGTCTCGTTACAGCATATTTGTGTATGCCGCTGGAATGCCAGAGCGTTACCTGCTGGGGCCGCCGCGAACTCCATTCTCGAGCCATACCTCCTCCAACTTGGCCTCCGCTGCCGCTTCCTCCACGATCTGCCTCTCGTCGGCGAAAACGATTTGATCTCCAAAAGCCTCTGCTATCTCTTCCAGGGTCTTTTGGCGCGTCTCCTTGAAGAAAAACCAGGCAATTACGAGGAAAAAGGATGAGCATCCGACGAAGACGTAGTAGTAGTTCTCCTTGATTGTTGAGAAGGCTGCCGGCCCGGCCTCAGTGATGCCCACATTGACAATAAAATGCGAGGCAGCAGCGATTCCCATTATCTTTGATCGTAGGGCAATTGGCAGAACCTCTACGCCGTACAGCCATGTCGTGCTGTTCAGCATGCCATAGTACGCAATGACGAAGAGATAAATCCCCAGAATAGCAAATCCTTTACCGACGCGATTATCAGTATTCTGGAACTCTCGCTGCATAACAGCTGCGTATATCTGAATCAGAGCACAGCTAGCAAGTCCAGTAATAAGCATCTTGCGTCTACCCCATTGGTCAAGCAGGTATCTGATAGCAAGGCAGTTGGATATAAAGGCACAAGTGCCATACACTCCGGACAGCGCAAGGATCTGGTGAGATTCAATTCCGAGCGACTTGTACAGAGTTGTTTGGTAGTACTGAATGACGTTGACGCCGGTCAAACTCGTCATGGTTTGCACGGCAATGGACACTTCGGTGTTTGAATCAGCATACAAGTTGCACACTTTCTAATCCAGAGCCGTGTACTTACCTAACGCGCGGCGTCGGAACAACCGAAAGATCTCCTTCCACGAGGTCACCTCTCTCTCCTTTTCGTATTCAATCTGTGCTTTCATTTGGGCAAACTCGGTCTGTATCTCTTCAGGCGTGGAACCGCGTCTAATTTTAAGAAACTCGATGCGGGCTTTGTCGACTTTCCCGGCTCGGATCAGCTGGCGAGGTGAGTCCGGCATGAACGTGGCCAGGCCGATGAACATGATAACACCCCAGGGAATCTGAATTGCCAGAGGGAGCCTCCACTGAACTGCTCCATAGGGAGCGTAAGAACAAGCAAAGCCGATCCAGTTGGCCAGCATGGAACCGAACGAGATTCCGGCACCGGAAATACCACCAATGAGGCCTCGGTTTTCAGGGCGGCTGATCTCGGAGAGATACAGGGGAACTGTGCCAACCATTCCACCGACAGCAATTCCTGCAATCGCTCGGCCGGCGAGGAACATGCCCATGTTGATGGATGCGGTTTGGATGACGGTGCCAATGGTGACGATGATGCACATCAACTGCATGAATCGAATACGCCCCAGCCGATCACCAATGGCGGTCTGCAGGAGGGAACCGACGGCTTCTCCAGCAATCTGTTGGGTCGACATCCAGATCAGTACGACAGTATAAGGGCGAGAAAGAGCGGCATTGATAGACCACAAAGAGATGTAGCAAGCGGCGCACCAAACGGGCCAGTTATGCGGGAAGAACTCACGTAAAGTGCTACAACAGCGCCAGTCAATCCATTGGAGGGCTTTCCCATGTACTCAATCCAACTCTGATGCGCAATCGTAGTAGTAGCAATGCCTATCACAATACCACTTTAGCAAGAGTCTTCAAGAGAAGGAATCGAAGAACACGATTTCCGTAGCTGCAACAACCACCGCCACCGCTACAGCAGCCAATCTTCCAATGCTAACAAGACTGATGATGAGTTTTACGAACCTGTATCAAATCCAAACAAATTCGTGCCCAGGGCCGCGAACAGGGCGACCCCTATGGTGTACCATCCCTCCATAGCGACGGTGTTGAAGGCGAGAGGGAAGCGAAATACGAAAAGCCCCAACTATCGAAATGAGAGGAGAAGGAAATGTGTTTGTCAGGCCATGCATCCTGATTGCAACCCCACGAGTACATATATATGCAAACCCTAACCCCGGATTCCCCAAGGTAGTGATCGACATGTGAGGGGGGAGGGGGTCGGAGGTTTCACCGACGAGGAAGGTCTTTGGCGGGTGGCACACCGAGCTCCCAAACTCAAAGTTTGATAGACATACATAGAATGACAAACAGGTTGAGAATCCAATTATGAATGCAATCCACTAAATTGAACTTTAATTTTGCTCATCGCTGTGGCCGTTGTTATCAAGAAGTGTTTCCGAAGCCCTATGTAATGTGAAACCCTCAAGTAGCATCATAGCTTACGGGCCCCATCTGATGTGACCTGGTTGGTGATAGTCCGGTATCTCGGGGTATTTCCAGCGACGGGAATAAGAAATGGGTGGGATGCCTGGGGGCGAGCCATGGGATATCGTCACCCAGATGTGTGAAACGTGGGGGCAGTCGGTTGTTCGGCACGAAACGGATCGACCGGCCAGATTCCAAGTCAAAGACAAGCTGCTTGATGGGGTTGTATGCAGTTATTATCCCGACGGCGCCTTGAATGATCGTGCGCAGTCACTGATCTTGGCATTACCATGTTTCAATCTATCAGGAGCGGTGGCCTTTTCCAGATTTACGCACCGATTCCCCTACAGGCCTTGCGAGTTTGAATTTGACTTTGATTCAATGGACAACACAAGTATATTGACCTCAAGGGGAAAATAAATCCATTGTAGGTAAAAATAAAGCTTTCATATGATAGCTAGCTTGACATCTCGAAAGGGTCTCGGTGTTGTGCTCGTCAATATTGCTTTCTGGAAACCTACCATGGTGCTTGCCTCATGGTAGAATTGGAAGAAAACAGAAAGCCTGATCGTTTTTTCACGCTGAGTATGAGAGTCAGAAGTGGCTTGAACCCACCAAGTCACCCAGCAGGTGGTTAGTGTTGAGCTAGGGCGGTCATATTGAACTGCAACCACAACTTGCTTAAAAGGTCTGATGAACAACGAGAAATATGAGAAGAGGCTTGATCCAGACGACAATGACAAAGACCGCGGTCATACGGTGCGCCATTCACGTAACAAATCATGGTTGGAGTATGAGGTTCTGCAGAGCCTCGATTAGAAAAGCCTTTTCTGGCAGGTAATGGGAGAAGACCGAAATTGCCGGCAAGGGGCGGTGGTTGAGGAGGGATTTTATCTTTCCAAGACTTAAGTAATAGTCCACACATATTGTCTCGCATCTCAGTTGTACCGTCTTCTTTTACCACATCATCTTGCTCGTACACACGTCGTTCCCGGGCTTCTGACTAATCCTACTAGTTATTCTCTAACTAACGATAGGTAAAGACAGTCAGAGGTGAGAACCTAACACTATCAACACTCATATTCCTGAGTGTGGAATAGCTATCTAGTTGTAAATGCCAGACGGAGAAATTGTCTTGCCCTATGCTCTATAATCTGCAGGGCAGGCCAACTTGCATGCCCCAATGGGTCGCAGATATGTGAGATAAATGCCGGGGCATCTGACTTTATCAATACTCTCACTCCTAGGGAAAATGGCCGTAGGGTCACGGTTGTAGCTGGCCGGGGTGTTACGGGAAGAAAGATTGGAAATAAGGGTCTCTAGTTGTCAATTTTGGCCTACCGTTGCGCGGGTTCATCGGCTTGGGCCAACCCGAAAAGTGTTGTTTGCTCCTTTATCCATGCCATAGTTCATATTAGAGTCCGAATAATTGCCTCTTTATCTACTACTCTCTTCTTGGCAGCTAATCTTCTTCGGTGTCGAAAGTGAGTGATGTTACGATGGGCCTCACATTTCAATCTCAATGGCATCAACAAGGTTCACGGAAGGCGAAAAGGGAGGGCGAATTTTAAAATGAGGCGTAAGAGATGTATTACATTGTTCTATTACTCAGCTATAGCCAATTAAATGGCTCCATCAGAACCAGCTGTGGGATCCGGATTTCACTAAAATATTTACGAAGGCAAATTCTTCCCTCTATGAAGCGAGAGAACTAGAATTTACTCTTACAATAGAGCTACTCCTCAACAAAATCAGATCTGTTCCTTCCTGTAGGCAGCTACCAGCTTCTGGTAGAATGACTTTGCCTTTCCTTGGTCAGCTCCCTCGCCGGGCCCAGATTGTCTCTGAGGTACATCAACTCTGTCACCATCGAGACCCGTGTTGGTGACAGCATTCTGTTGTTTGCCCAGGTAGAAGTCGGGCATGAAGAAGGTGGCAATCAGAGGCAGACAGGCCAGCACCAGTGCGGTGATTGCAATGTGGCCATTGACATATGCATAGGCTCGAATAGCACCCTGTCTGACGGGGTCAGTAAAGCTATAGTTGCTGCGCAATTTGGTGATGTTGGCATAGATCTTTGCAATGGTGCTATTGTCGACCTTGGGCATCTCCAGATGCATGCGGTCAAGCATCTCGTTGGTCCAGATGGCAGACGACACCGCGCTTCCAATAGACGAGCCCAGAGTGGACCACAGGGTGAGAAGGGAGATGATGGATGCCATGTCCTCGTGTGGCACTGAAGCCTGGCTACCCACACGAGCACCGACGACGTTGAAGGAGCCCAAGCAGAAGATCAATTGCGCAGCGACCAGCCGAGCCGTATCTTGAGTCATGTGGCCGTCGCTCTGAACTAGCAGGCCGTAACCAAGCACTCTTGCGACCGCACCAAAGACCATCATGGACTTGTATCGATGTGTCTTCCTCTGGATGAGACCAACAATCGGCCCCACGATACTGAGACCCATGGTCGTAATGCCCATGAAAATGGTCCACTCGTAGGTCGTCCACTCTTTGATGATGTAGATGTATGAGGACATGTACGTGTTGCGAACTGAAGATGCCATCTGGTTGAATGTGTAGATGGTGACGGAGGCGAGGAATGTTTTGTTCTTGATAATGTGCTTTGTCATGAGAGGCTTGGGAGCAAGGTACATCTCGAAGAGCACAAAGGCGATGAGAAGAACGAAACCAACAACCAACATGGCGACGATGCTTGGACTTCCCCAACCACCCTTGGCGCTCTTGGCAAGTGTGAAGGGAAGCAGGATAAGTGAGAAAGCGAATCCAAGGATGACGAGGCCACAAATATCAATGTCGATAAGACCCTCGTAAAACAGCTTCATCCAGAACATGAAACCCCTCCTGGACTCTTGCGGATCTTCAGTGACCCCGGCTCTCACACGCTTTGAAGCAGCCATGGTGACCATGCCCATCTTTTCTCCCCGTCGCTGCATCGAGTACAGTGTGAAGATGGCGGGGAGGAGCAGGACCGGGACGATGATGGCAAACATTCCCAGGCCCCAGCGCCAGTTATCCTCAAATCCCTCGGCGATGAAACCGTTGATGGGAACGGTGACGACGAAGGGGATAGACAGAGAAGCTCCGAAGAAACCTCGCCACTCCAATGGTGTCAAGTCGCCTACAATAATGTCACTCAGCAAGTCGAGCCCAGACTTGCCGACCGAAGTGAAGCAAAGCCCTACGGTGTAAGCCGCGAACGAGTTTGCAGTGGCCGCAACGACGAAGCCCAGAACGTAAAAGACAAGAATCACAACATATGTGGTGGGACGCGAGGTAATGTCTGCTAGTTTGCCGATAAAGGGCTTGCTAATAGCTCGAATGATCTGACCGGCGGTAGTGACAGCTGCAAGCGAGCTGTGCTGGCCAAAGGTGGAACTGGCCAAGGTGGTGAAGATGGTTGTGGTGATGCCCAGATCGAGTGCATAGGCGAACATGGTCAGGAAGATGGAGGAGCCCAGCAGCCACAGTAATACTTTGCCAGACTTGCCCGACTGGTACAAGACCTTGTTGAAGGCCTCGACTCTGCTCACACCAACCTCAACTCGGTCGGCAGCTGCGCCCGAGACATCAGGAACTGAGCCACGGTGTGAATCGCCTACGTCGTCCGCTTTCACGGTCGCATCAATTCTTTCATGGCTGGCATTTGGCGAGGAGTAGGGTGAGCCTGCTACGCCAGAATGAGGCTGACCAGCACCTTGAGCTGGCGATGACATCTTGTCGTTCCCGGGCCTAGAAGTTTGCCAGATGAGGGGGGCAGGCCTTGTGTTTGAAAAGAACAGGCAATATATAGTTGCTGCAACTGAGGCGCTCGCTTCAGGCAGACAGAGGCAAGGGAAAAGATATATACAGCGAGTGAAAGGTTTCTTTTTTTATTGAACAAATCTTGGCAAGAACTTGCCTGCTTTGCGAGTCCGGTCCCTCCCTTGGGGCAGAAACAACGCAGAGGGGCCAGTGAGTGATGATGGGTCGATGAAATTTCTTCCGTCGCGGATTACAGCCTTTTCCGCCTCGTCTCCCTGTGCTAGTGATACCAGAATGGCAGAAACCCATATCCACCAACTAGTTTTGTAGGTCTCCGAGAGTTAGTGTCACAGACGGGGTGGGTATGGGCAGGGATAACCTCATCTGATTACTGTGTTGATGCTACTCTACGGATACTTGGCAGGAAATTCTTGATGAGCCTGCCAATGGGGGTAGCTTATCAGATCTTCCTCCGAGCCAAAACCATGCTCCTAATTACCCAGTGGCGTCTGGGGGGCAAGGAAATTCAGCGCACATGCCCTTGTCCGAACGAGCGTGTGGGTCGGACCACACTCGATTTTGGCACGGGTGTCGGCTCTTTCCGTTCACTTTCTTATTCTCTATTTTGTCTTCGAGTAGCTGATATTGGCTCATAAATGCTTCCCCCTTGGTCGGCGAGTGGACGTTAAAGTACATGTACTTGGTTGTTCAACTCTCATCAGAGTCAGGGAGGTTGATAATAGCTAAATCATCAAGTGTTTCTCGAGAGTTTTGAGTTGCTTCTTCGTTCAAGGTTGTAAGCGTACCCGTACCCCCACACGCAACCCGCGGGAATAAGTTTGTTCAACCCTAACTCGACGCTTCTACCACTTAGTTTACACGCCAATTCGGAGTCCCAACAGTCCGGTTCTCTCGCTTGAGAGGTTTATCAGCAACAAGCCCCATACGTAAGTGCACAACAAGGTATCATTGGGCGTTGTGAGCATTGAACCATTAATAGAGCTATCCACCAGCTATTGTCATGGGCTGCTGACACGATTTCTTGGGCGGCGAGGACCAAGAAGGAAACCCACTCTGTCGAGGAGTGGGAACGTGCTACTTTACGTAAATGACACGGGAATAACAAGCCTGCCTCGTTCACCTCATCCTGGGTTGGCTAGGGCTGATATGCAAATGGCTTCATTTGCTTTCGTCTGGAGTTTCGCCACATTTCCCTCTTGCCATTAGTGGGAAAAGGGTGCGAGCAACCAAAGACCAACACAGGTAAGTTTCAAAGCCACTGACGCACTTGAGTTAAGGCTAAGTGTTTCCACATGCTTGTTGGGCTATGTGTGCATTTGATCATGCAGAAAGGGAGCCAACATTGCAGATCGTGCAACAAAATCCCGCAAGCGACAGTGCTGGCAGCGAATTACCGTAACCAGGGAGTAATCATTCGTGCTTCTCTGCCGAGCCCCGCTAATCGTTGTAGCTTGGCATTAACAGTATCATGTGGTCGATCGATCCCTACTGATTACTCTCACCTCATGGCCACCCCTGCCCCAATGACTGAGCTCCGATAACCGGTGGTTTCAAAGCAAACTTCTTGTAGCCAGGCGTGCTCGTTCAGATGTTTTCTCAACCTATTATAGACCTCTTCCCGCTGGCCTTACGCATAGGTACGTTTCTAAAGGCGTAGATGTTAGCAGCTGTTTCCTCTCTCCAAAATCTTCACTTGGAAGAGTTGCAGAGCGCTAAATACACTGTGTTGGCAGAATACCGGGCTCGAGATGGAGCCATATTGCACAACCCTGCCAATACCCATAGTAAACCGCTAGTGCCCGCTGCGATGATTGTATCAACTCGATGAGCCACCGCTAGAACTGTGGCATCTTTCAATACTTCATTCAACATTACCTAGAGCTTCATGTCTGTTCTGCCGCCAATAGATGTTGTGGAGTCGCCCAGGACGGCGACCCTAGACCTTCTCACAACAGCGCCCTAGAGATTAGAGACGAGACCGCTGCTCTTGGGGGGGAATACCGCCCCTGTTCTCCCTGGCTTCAGAGGCTAGTGCGAGATCTTGACCCTTACCACTAGACCGGGAATATCTTCTCCCTATCACATAACTCACTTCTGGTGTTGCTGTTGTACTCCCTTGGCCGGATGCAATTGCTGTCTTGCCGGGCCCGAAAAAGCCCGCTTTAAAAAAAATTGTGAAAGAAAAGATATTTTCGTGAAGTCAGTCATCATTATACTCATAAAAAGATCGAGATTGTCTGTGATGGTTCCAGTTGGAAGACAACGTCTTGAGCAATGATGGAACAGAGTTGATCCAAGACGATGGAAGCCAACTCTGTGACGGTCAACACCTTCAACAAGTACCTTGCTGCCAATGGACTCCGTAATTCTGATAAGCGTCAAAGTGAATGGCAAAAGGTAAACTCACACGTTGTTTTTATAGGATATCGATCACGGACGATGTTCTAGGACGATGTTCTAGGACGATGTTCTAGGACGGTGAATAACAGTCAGGATGCTCGTAACTTTTCGCTCTTAAGGTTGTTATCTACACATGTGGTGGCTCTGGCAGGACTCCAGGCGAGATAGAGCCAAGTTAGGAAACCTTTGAGGCTGGTTGTCGGGGCCCTGGTTCTAGAAGTGCTAAGTATTAATTATAGTGGAATAGGAAGAGCACCGTTTTCTAAGCCTGGGGCAGGCGGTAGGAGATAGGAAGTATGTTGGCGGTAAGAGTATGAAGCACTGTGAGCTCGGTACGTTCTCCCACGTGCTTATAAGCTTGGTCCTCTACCAGCATAGGCTCGGGTCCTGCGGACTCTTGGTTCTGTACTGGCCAGAAATGACGGGTGAAGTTAAAGTTGAACGGGACTGGGGCTGAAGGTGCCCTGACTTTCGAAGAAGGGGAACCAGTAATTAGGTCGGGCTTAAGGCCACGCTCTTTAGTTCTCAAAGACACTCTGGCGGTGGGGTCACCAGTAAACGGTATCTTAAACACGCTCTTGCCTATTCTAACTTTCACTCCCTAGACGCCTAGATGGTCGACATCCCCTGTTTGATATGTAATATCTCCTGATCCATCACGATGAGAAAACTGCTTATTTAGCCATTACCGGGGCCACCCCTTATTAAATTGCTGCGCGATGGGACATGGAAATCTTATCCAGATAAGAGTTTCAGGGAGGTCAGTCTTGATGTTTCATCCATGGCCACATGCTCAGCATGATCTTGAGCCACGAAATCGGGGACCTAAGATAGTATACTATCAGTCTTGGACTCGGAGCATTCCAGCTTAATCGGGCTAAACAGGCCAGGAAATATGTCCCTATGCGCGTCTCTCTATAATACAAGCTGTTTATCATCGAGCTTTTTATCCGATTCTGCGGATACAGATTCATCGGCTCCTTGTAGTTCTGCTGCCTATACGGCTCTCCGAAGTGCCTGCACATAGTACTCCAACTCTTTAGTTAGAGATTCCTATCTTTAAACAGAAGATAAGACGCCTAGATCGCCATCCTCTACAATCATATCTCTTATAAATCAACAATACACCTCTTTTTAAGTTTCTATATAATTAACACGGTAAGCTTTCCTTGCCGTCCCTAGTGAGTTTACAAGGCCCAAAAGAGAATACAGCTTGTCTCACATGTCTGTTGCTTATTGCGGCCGAGTGCGCTGCAAGAGACGTGAGAGTCAAAATCTCTCATCTCGGAGACAGTCCCGCCGGTTAAGCATATCTCAGCAGAGTTTGTAAAAGTCGACTAAGGTTCTGATGTTTTCATATTCCTCAACACGAAATTCTCTTGTCCCGTGGCAAAAACTGCGGCATATGCATCTCCAAATACTGCCCAGGGGACGGCGTATCTCCCGCAGCAAATCTCAGTATCCCGTGACAGGCACAGTTCCTAGAATATCCATGCACGTGTGAGCCATACACGGCGGACAAACGCCTCAAAGCAAGCCTGCTCTTCAACATCGAAGGTACTCCACTCTGTGAGGTTGTCCAAAATCTCTAATTAACGAGCCCCTGTCTTCAAGGCGTTGGCATATATATCAGCCCAACGTTTGATGAGTCTGATCGAGCCGTAGGTCCAATAATCTTCCTCCCCGAGCCAAATAACAACTTTTTTCGCTTTAGTATAAATATCCGCCATGAGTGGAACCTGACTGCTCTTCTCAAGGGAAGAGTCTTGGTTGATGCACAGCGCATCGATCCATAGAGTACGAGAGACATTATCCAACTGCAGGGCTCGTAGGTCAAGCATGATATTTGGCGTCATTTGAACAGTGTATTCTCCATCTATGCTGATGGAGCACGCGACCTTGCTCTCATGAGCAACAACTGTCGGTACATCTAGGAGGAGAAGAGTAGAGGCGTAAGGGTCATTCCAGCTATACGACAGCGCTTCATACGGTGCGGTGGTTGAGTCTAAATGCGAGTCTCGTAGGGATACCACGATGTGATTCGCGTTTTGTGCGTGCTTTCGAGGATGAAGCTCGAGCAGCCTGAATGACGATCCTGGAGGTAGCGCACTGTACGGGTACTTATCCAAGCGAATCTCTACTCTGCTTGACCTTGAAAACGCCCGAGATAGGTTATTCCTAGCAGAGGTCAAGTGAGGCTTAGATGGGGCGACGAGTCCTCGTGGGACGATTACCGTGCATGAAGCATTTACGTTGAAAACCCGCGACGCGAGTAGCCCCAAGTGCTTCATCGTGTCTCCAAGCCGTACCTATCCTTCATGTGATGAATGTATTCTCAGGATTAAATACGCTCGGTTTTGCCATCAGAGCATTAACAGGACATGACTGAGAAGAGTTGTGCGATCCAAAAATCCCATTCATTACCCTGCCCGCGAGATTACCTAAGAGATATTAGCCATAGCATTACTTTGACTACAACCTGTAGTCAGATTCACCATCCAACCCGATTTTCTTGTCACCAATCGTCAAAACTGTAGTGGCACTGTATGCATACCGCCATTTAATCTAATCTATTTCATCACAAACATGCATTTATCCCCCGCCCCAAGACCCCGTTGACAGAATCCCCAAAACCAATACCCATACGCTAGATCCTAGAAACGTAGAAAAAGATGATCATAGCTTGGGTTAAAGGGGTGAAGTTGCTGCCTTAGACAGGGATATCTCCAAGGTTGATACGTGCCCTTCATCTGAGACCGACTCGTCGGCCCTAAAGAACCCTAGCAGCCTGGTTCCCGCCCTCACAGCTTACTGGTTAAAAGCAGATGCATCCCTAGAATCTGCTAGAGTGTCCAGTGGTTAGCCACCGTGCAATACCCACCCCTCGGAGCATCCTTGTGCAGTGGAGTCATATAGAAACACACATGCTCGCAGAGACAAGGCATTCCATAAGCTTGGGTAGCCCACGGAGGGCTCGGGGAGAAAATTAACGGATGCTGGATCTAGATTTCATTATTATTGTCTTAAAGTCGTAAGTTAACTCTAGAGGGAAAGATATTAACTTTATTATATATAAAGTCCCGCTTAGTCCTCTTCGATGAGACATGGGACTCCAAGGCTCTCAGATTCTCGCGTCTAGCCTTGTAAGAGTTGCAATCTAGGACGGAAAGGAAATTCTACCCGCACAGATGGTCGTCCCACGGGAAGCTTTCGGCAAAGAATTAGTTTAATCCCATCCGCAGCCAGGAGCTCTATTTGCTCCGTACACCCAAACGGTGTCAAACCTTCCGCCATGTGAATGCTCACAGCCCTCTGGAAACAACCCTGCGTTTCCTTCATTTCATCCTTTTCGACATTATGGGACACCAAATGGGCACCAAGACCATTTACTTATTTACCGACGGTTGACACTCACGACCGGATCAACTCTTGTGCCTAAGCGTCCGAGTCGTCAATCCAAGGCTCGTATCAAGATAAGATAAGCCTTCACTGGCAAGCCGGTCACGTGCTCTCACCACCCAGTATGCTAGCATACCTCGAGGAGACGCAAAATTATCCCCCTCTGCCCGTATGAAGTACTTCTTTAGGACGGGGAATAAAATCCTCCATGCACCATAGTGCCTGCGAAAATTCATTTCTACTAAATGGCCATGTGACAAGCACGTGATGTTTCGTAGTACTGCACGTATTAGGTCCTTCGGAGATAACTGTCGCCACTGTCCCGTGACCACCCATGATAGAGCGCCTGCCAGGTAATTCACACATGGCACCGTTCAATTGTGGCAGCTTTCTGGGGCACCTTTTAGTGCTATAACCATCTAGCAACATAAGGTATACATACTTAGATGTCTAGAATAGCTACTGTAACTAAAATTTATTTAGAATCCCCAGTATATATCTATAGAGACGCGAATACATTGTTGCGGTGCCCAGCGGTAGGGAAAACAGGAGGGATGTATAGGGTAGTCTGAGTCGGTGGAAGAAGAAGGAGCAGGTGTTGGTACCTGAGGCACCGAAAGGGACACGTGGACTCGAGCGAACGCGAGTCATCACGTGATGCCTCAGTGCTCCCTGGGCCTGCTAAATATCACAGTCGCTTACTTTTCTGGTATCTTGAAATGAATGAAGAGAATACAATTGCCCTCTGCAAACTACTGGTCGGCAAGTACCCAGTTGATAAGCTGCCCGCTGCTTAATGGGGGGGGGGGGCTCAGGGGAACTTGGTTGGTCTGGAACTGAAGGCCCATGATCGAATCGAAATGATGCACGCGCCGCCCAAAGTTCCACCATGGCACAGGGGTGGGATGGGGAGGTTGCATGTGGGCGTAGCCGGTAGTACACGCAGGATATTAGGATGGATGAAGGACTGCTCCGTGGTCCCAGACCCGAGTGGTGAGACTAGTGCATTCGCGCGGAGCGCAGGCAGCCTCGCAAGCGTTTGTCCATTGACATTACACATTGTTGGGACGCGAGGTTTCGAGTCGTCGTACCGACCGACCTGTGGTGGTGTGGTGTGTGCAAGCGTACATTATGTGTGCGCCAATGTCCCAATGCACGGCCAATCCAACCACCCCTGAGTCCCCGCCGAGGAGCTACTATTATTACCTAGGTACCTACATGTAGGTAGTAATTGCTCGGGTAAAGCCAAGCAAGGAGAACCTCACTTCATCCTCGCATCTCTCCCCTCTTCTGCTGACGGACATGTGTAACGGCACCGTGTTGCATCGTGGGAGCCGAGGGCGTGTGGTGTCGCCTCGGGGAGCGTCAGCCCGCAATCAAGGTAGCAATGCAGCAAACGCGGTCGGGAGCTTGTATTTCACTTGTGCTTTATTATTTCTTCATGTTGTCTAGGGCTTCCTCGCATAATTGGACCTGCAAACACGAGGTCAAACCTAATTGCCCCGGCCGGTTTGGATCTGCCTCCTCTCTCATCCATCCCTCCCTCCCTCCTTGGCGACTCTTTGTCCGTTCTCCTCCTCCCCTCTACCATTTCCCCGCCTGCCAAGCCGCCAATCCAAAGAAGGGTGTTCCAGAGCAAAGCGTGGCCAACCGACACCGGAAGATGAAAAAGCACATCGTTGAGAGCAAAGACAACAAAAGAACAACCAGATTTTTTTTTAGGGATTTTTTTTTTCTTTTGGGAAAGGAGAACAAAAAGGGACTTTGGGAAAAGCGAAACAAAGAAAAAGAAGAACGAGGCCCTGCGAAACAAATTCCGACCGGGCGGCCTCGCCTCCCTCCAGCGCTTCCCTGATGCCGTCGACGCGACGAGCACCAGGCGGCTACGGGCCCCTGCGGCGGCGCCCGGCGTTGGCCAACCGAATGATCTTGTTTGGGTCTTCGGGCATCTCATATTCGACCGGCAATTGGCGGAGACGACGGCTCTGTCGGCGTTGGTTGTGCTGGGGACTGCCCGGGCGCTTGCGCTGCTGCTGCTTGGGGCGTGGTCCGCTACCAGAGCTGAGGCCATCGTGATGCTCTGGAAGCGAGCTTCGGATACCGAGGCTCTGCGCTATCAGCTCCAGGTCAGGCAGCTTAGTGAAGTCCCCCCCACGAAGTTCTTTGAGGCGCTCCTCTGCATGGTGATGCCTAAACCCTTCGCTGTAGCGGGGGTCTTGGCCGAGTCCGTCGTGCTCCATGAGCATCTTCTTCGCCTGGTGTTGCACGCGGAGGAAATGGGCCATCATCTCCTCCCGTTTCTCCCTGGCCTCTGGTCCCTCACAGTGGTACCGACGTAGGGACTCCTCGTTTTCGGCTCGTGATCTCTCTCCCGCGACGGCACGGACCCTGCCTTTCCTGTACTCTTCATCGTTCTGGCCTTCAGCAACAGCCCTCCACTCCGCTCCTTGCATCGTGTCAATTTCTGGGCCGTTGCTGGCTCCCCATGCATATTCAGACTGGTTCAATGGCGCACCGTCGTCTTCCCACCACTCGCTGTCCACGTCGCTCATTGCCGGCGTGCATGTCTCGGTGTCGTCGGTGGCGTTTGGCGGTTGCGAAGACCCGAGTATCTGATCCCACGACATTCCCTCGGACAGCATGGCCTCGTCCCTGGTCCGCATGATGCCCCTCGCCATCCACCATCGTTTGCGCGATCGCAACGAACGGTACGATTCTTCGCCCTCAGCCGGATCGGCCATTTCCTTCTCTCGACGAGCTGCTCTGCGGTTGAGGTACCATCCCTCACCATAACGCTTTCGTGCCAACGACATCAACTCATCCAGCTCGCGGCCGTGTAGCTGCACCTTGTCTCCCTGCAGCTGAACCTCCATGGCCCTCAGTGCGTGTTGCCGCTTGCAATACCCCGTCGACATTGTCGGATGCTGCGCGACAATGGAGTTGTAAATGTCATCCACCATGGCCTCCCGCTCCGTTGCCCACTCTTCGCCAAGATGCTTGCGACCCCATTCTGTCATGGTATCAAAAGTAGCAGGCTGTGGCTCAGGGGTCCACCGTCCGGATGGCTCGCTGCGAGTGTTGTCGTTGTTCGGCCGGCGTGGAGAAGGGAACTCGTTGGTCGGTCCGTCGCAAGCGATGCCGTCGTCAAGCACCTTCATCGAGGGGGCAGTGGTCGTCATTGTGTGCTGAAAATAAATCGTCTGGTTTTCGGCTGGCTGAGTTCTTAAGATGAAGAAGGGTGCAATAGGTGGCAAGCGTTGTTCTTATGCTGCTGCAAAATGAGTGCAGACAAAGACAAGGCCGTCAACAAACAAAACGAAACAAAGGCTTCGACACATGAGGACAACAAGCAGCGCCCAACACGTGATGCTCTCCCAGGCAGACGCTTGAAATTCGTTGGATGTCGACCCCCGAGATTATCCGACTGTGTAACCATTGTTTGCTGGTACATTCCCCTTAATGTACGCATGGCGAGCCTAGTGTCCAGCCTCTTTTTTCGCTCGCATCATCATTTCCCCCCGTTCATCGATCGTCATGACACCATCAAGTTCTCTTACAACCCTTGAAATGGATGATCCCAGCGTCGCACTTTGGTTGATACCGCACGCGGATAATACAGCTCAGGATCTCCTTCACGATCCTGTGAACAGTGGGCTGGTTGACTTCAGTGACGACGGCCAAGGACGCTTTAAGATAACCTTCACCAAGAAGTCAAAGATCCAGGGGCGCCTTGTCTCCTTTGGTCGCCCGCATGAGCGCCATGATATCGTGCTCCCATCCAAAGGCTTTTCCTCCACTGAACACTGTTATTTCGACGTCAATCCGATGTCGCGTGCCATCATGTTGCATGATGTCTCCAAGAAACGCCAAACGGGACTTTTCCATCACGTTCCGGAACCAGAGGGCGGCTACAAACTGTCCCCCGATGAACTGAACAATCCTCTGTCGATCCGAACCTGCGTGGTTCTCCCCAACCAACAATACACCTTCGAGATCGGGAAAATGAAGTTCCTCCTGATCGCTCCAGCGAGGTCGGACATGGAGCTTCGAAAATTCGTTGACACTGTCCCCAAGGACTATAAGACGATTCGTGCTACAACCTACGCTATCACTGAAACCAACAAAGGTACGGAGGGACCATCAAACCCTCAAACGAGTCCCCGCCTTCACTCGGCACATGCCACAATCAGGCACCGGCCCGACCACTTTCTTGGGTCTGGAGGGGAAGCTGTGGTATATCAGTACCTGAACTTACAGGACGGCAACTTTTATGCTTGCAAGATTATATCCCTTTCGAAGGATGCACCGGAAGTCCCAGGTCAGGGTCAGAAGGCGAACGAGGGCTATGCCGCGGCATTGAAGAAAAGGGTGGCCGAGGAGGTGACAGCGCTCAGCAAGATGCGCCACGTAAGTAAACTCTGCCCGCTGCTCTGGCCCCTTTTGGCGTGACTGATTGGCTAACCCTTCGATTTGCCGACAAAGGACAACGTCATTTCCTACAACTACACTCAAGGCTGGGATTCCAACCACGAGCTCCGAATATTCATGCCTCGTTATGAAACGACTTTGCGAGAAATGTTACCGGACTACGATCGACGTACACGCTCGGACTGGAGGTTGCGAGTGGACCGCATGATCAGTGATGTGGGTTCCGCGTTGAAGTATATCCATGGAAAGGGGTGTTTCCATCGTGATATCAAACCCGACAATATTCTTGCCAACGGCCAGTCATTCTGTGTGACTGATTTCGGGATGGCGAGATTCCCCACGAGTACTGGACCTTTGCCAGTCAATCGAGGGCACACTAGGCAGTATGCGGCCCCCGAGGTCCTGCGAGAAGGACGCGAGACCTCTGCCGTCGACATATTTAGCTTCGGCGTCATGATTCTTGAGTGTTTGGCGTACTTGCCTCTGGTGGCTTCGCCAGGCAGTCACGATACTCGAGGCGTTGCTGAGCGTACGTTGGATGTCTACCCCAAATACCGCCTTCGCCTCGGGCTAGAATGGCCCGAGGCCGAATCGATGATCTCCGACAGGCCTGCGAGGCGGCCTGGCGCCTCTCATATATACAAGGCTTTGTTGGAAAGCGGCGGGGTCCCTATGCCCGGCAATGCGAGACGTGGCAAGAGTGGCCGCGAACCACGCTATCCTAGCCGACGGTTGGCTCCAGAACGGAGGCTCGGAACGCCAGGCACTGGCGAGCAAAAACCCGCAACGAACGCGCGGTGGCCGATGCTCCGCCGGTGGAATCGCCAGCATTCATTCCCGATCAGGTCCCCGACCCGGATGCGATGGAGTGGACTCCGACCATACCGCACCGACCCGCCGCGCAGCAACAGCCGGCGCAGCAACAGCCTCCGCAGCAACAGCCTCCGTCGCTGCGAGCACGCGAGGCAAGAAATGCGCAACGGCAACTGACCCGGGCCGCGGCTCGAAGGAATAGAGTTGGCGGTAGAGCTCCAAGCGATTCAGACGACGAGCCAGAGAATTCCGCTAAGCGAACCAAGAAAACCAATCAACCCAGGCGTGGAAAGCCCCGCAGGTAGGAAAGATGAAGGTGGAGGGGAGGGAGACGTGAGATGACGAGTGTGCTGCGGCCGGCAGCGGTTTTTTTCCTTTTCTTTTTGGATATCTGAGCGCCCAAGGAAGTTGTTCGCTTCAGTCAAGGGTGAAACAAAACGCATAGATGCTGGGCATTTCAAAATTGCAATGAGTAGCGCTATTTGGGGTACTGTGTTATTGAAAATTGGGAAATACAGGGTTGCATCGGAGATTGGTCCTGTCTCATAGCCGCAAGGGCATCTGATCTCCCCTAGTCTTGATAGATAGATAGATAGTTTGCCTAGATTTGGATATTTCCTAGCAGTGTACCATAGACGATTTATTTGAACATAATGGGCGAAAACTTGTTTGCAGGGATGATACTCCATTCCATCCTGATGAGCCAAGGAAGATGAGACATCGGACATAATGCTTCGTCGGAATCCGGTGAACGAACAACATGAATGTCTCTGCTACGGGCTCGATTCTCGTGATTCGAATTCGGGGAAGGAGTTTCTTGGCCCATTTTGGCCCAAAAAAGGGGCGACATGCGAGGCTCCATCCGACTGGTTTAAAGAAGAAAGAGGGACCTTTGACCTCTGTAAAATATGCACGAGAAACGACAACAAAACAGTGGAGGAAGAGTATTGCCTGTCAGGTTCTGGTAAAGGAGGGTGTAATTATTATCAAAAAGACACATTTTTAACAAGGGTCACGGCTTCAAGCTCCAGGCCCTTCAAGCATAGGTGTGGAGACTGAGGAGAGGGCTGAGTTGCCTGAGCCCACTGCAATTCATGCCGCCTGGGCCAGCAGCATTTATGTTCTCATCTAATTCACCTTCGAATTCGATCAGATACACCGTCTTCCCGGGGCTTTGTCTGCTGACGAAATGATATCCTCCGCACGGCGTCATAATGGGCTAGCTACTGCTTCTACGCCAGCACGGCATGGTCGCGCGGGTCAAGGCCGCAATAGAGGATGATCCAGCGTTTCAGTTTTCAAGATCAACTCAACCAAAAAACAAAACTTGTCAACTAAAATTCGGAAAGTTGAGGTTGATGAGGTCCGGATGATGCTCCTTTGAAGACGGACGTTTCGTACACCACCCCCATCTTGGCCCCTCACTTTTCGTTTTACAGCGGCCTCTTTGAAAGATGGTTGCCAATTGCCGTCTGCGGGTCGAGCTTGCATCCAAACCACAGAGAGGATCGGCCAAGGCGATAGCTCCAATATGAAAAAGGGTAAAACAAAGAGAAGATGTGTCCTAGAAATAAGTTATTGGAAAGAGGATGGGGCAGGCAGTGGGTACGGTTCTGGAAGGAGTGCCTACTGCCTGGGTGTGGCTAGCCGTCTGGCTTCCTATTGTCCTATTCAACGTAATGCGCGGTGCTCGTAGAGTCCGCAGTTTTGAGCGCGACGTGGGCATGCCAGTAGGTTGGGAGAACTGTGCGTTTCGGTTAACTGAGTTCGATGGCGTGCTAGGATTCTCTTAGTAGGAAATGGATGGTCTTTACGGTCTCTGGGGAATGTAGTGCGAGATTCATCATGCCGAGAACCGAGCAAGCTGGAACCGGGAGTTCTTCGTCACTGACAACGGATACATGGGAATCGGACCCGTTGGTGCGCGGCCGGGTGATGAAGTCTGGAGCTTGATTGGTGGCCGTGTGCCGTTTGTGTTTCGACCTTCAAGCCACGGCAACGACACGGCTCGTAGTAAATATTACAAGCTTGTGGGAGAGAGTTACGTTTATGGAATCATATGGATGGTGAGCTGTGGGCTGGACAGAGAGATACCTGGAAAGATTTAGAGAAGATGAAAGCCAAGGCGATTAAAGTGGTATTGGTCTAGTTGAACCCATATTATATTCATTAAATCACTCTTTCTATAGTTGAAGACTACAGTGATAGCAGCATACGTATATAGTACCAGTAGAACGGGGTCCTTGATGCAGTGTCAAAGTTACATTATAGACAAACGCTCGTCTAGCTTCGGTATTTAAAATTCGGCTCTCCCGCCCCCATCCAACGGGCAATATACATATTTCACTTGCCTCCTTCTACAGATGGCTTGCCAATACGATCACTTTGGTGGTTGTCTTTCTACGCGTATATTTGTTTCCGGTCAACTAACGTGCAGGGAGCTTTAGTCGGCGCAGCCCGAGATCAAGACTACGCGAGTCATCGCGTACTTTTAAGTAGATTCAGTGCTGGTTATTGACTGTCTTGTGAGACATGTTACTTGGGAAGTTCTACAGGAGGCCGATGACATATGAATAGGAAAGATTCTTTCTAAAAATAAAAGACAATCTCATTTCTTAAGCAGCACTATCAACAATTCGGCTCTTAACGAGCTGATGGAATATATCACATTTTCCTCCTTCTCTACACTCCTTCTGTTCCTCACCATTTTTCGGACAATACAGTCAACAGACTTGGGGGCACCGCGACCGGAACTGCTCTGTTCAGCTATTTTAGTATCCTCGTTGTATTCAATGGCTTTCTTATTCCCCGTGTCCAGCTTGCCCCCCTCAACTTCATTTATGAGCCTCTCGTTGCCACTCTTCTTCAGCCACAGCTGCACTGGTGAGATCTCGGAACAGAGTTCCCGTTCATCTGCGACCCGTTCCGTTCCGACCCATCTCGTCTGCCTGAGCTTCTCATGGATTTCGCCGTCACCTCTATTTAGCTACGACAGTAGCTCTAGTGCAAAACCAGCGGGATCGCGGAACGAGTTGGAGAAAGCGGAGATCCCCCACTGAATTCGCGAAACGGGGAAAGCCTCCAACTCAGTTTCATGAAGGCTTTTTAGGGTTGGCTAGGTGACTATCAGGGTTGTTGGACGCAATTGCCTCATGGATGGGAGTGTGAGCTGGAACAAGACCATGACTCGTCCTTGACACTACCAGTAGTGCCCACCAGGTTACTGGCTGGTTGGTGGTTTGCTATCGAATTGTCCTCATTGGCTTACTGCTCCCGGCCAGCGGGGTGTCGTGGAGACTGACTGGGAACTTCATTCCATCGCCGAGTCGTTCCCGAAAGGGGGGAACCTTGACTAGCGACTCTCCCCGCTCAAACTTGCCCTCCTCGACCGGACGGGCAATAATTTCCGCTCTCCTACATCAATTCATTGCGTCACGGACTATCCATACCCATCTACCCCAGATTCTACCTTGCTGAAGCATCACAGAAGCACAGCTCTCTGGAGATATTAAGTGTACTTGTAGCGCCATTATACCCGCCATGGCCTATTTTCATCATCATAATCATCACTATCCCGTGCCCAATGTCCCACAACGTGGGTACTGCCTCAATATGACTGGTTCGTCGCCACCTCAACAGTGGCCCACACCAGCGCATTCACTGGCTTCGACCGTTCGATCTGCCCATGGGGAGATTTCCGACGAGGAGCAAGTTTCGTATGCAATGCATCCGCCAGAGGATATGCCCGCCTCTGCATGCTATGACTACGGGCTAACTATATTTGCTCAGCCTGGCTAGGCCGTCTCCTCGGTCTCCAATCAGCCAGCATGGGGCTGGCTTCCCATTTCAGAACCGAAAGGAAGCTCGTTACTTGATGTACTACATCAAGGATTTCTCTTCCTGGGTAAGGACTCTCCGAAGCTACCATCTGTCAGGGACTGACGTTCAAGTAGATTGACATTTGCGACCCAGCTCGCCATTTCGCTCGCGAGGTTCCAAGACGCGCTTGTGACGACCCCCTGTTGGCATTCTCGTTGCTGGCATTCACATCTCGATTCTTCTGTCTTAGAACTAGGGTTCATGATCCAAGCAGCGACATTTACTATAGTAAAGCTATTCAGCTACTTATTCCTGCGTTGGATGATCCCATCGCGTCTATAGATGAAAACATTCTTGCAGCGATCGTACTACTGCGTCTCAATGAAGAAATGTCAGGTAAGTCCGGTCTTCGCTTGCCCTCTTTCCAGCAAGTATCTCCATGTTTTACTGACTGATCACCGGGGCTGGGAGGAGAGGACAGAGAACGACACTTGTACTCATCTGCTAGGAAGCACCCGTTTGTTAGACCTGGCATCAAGCTTTGCCCCTCTTGGAGGCCTTGGTGAAGCGGCGAGCTGGCTTCTCTTGCGACAAGACATGTTTGTCTCGCTCACAAGGTCCCTGAGTCCCACAAGTACCTATGAGAATTATAGAAACTCGGCCTTTTTCACTAGCTCTACACCTGAGGCTATGGCTAACCGGGCGGTCTTTATGTGCAGTCAAGTGCTTGCCTATGCGTTCCGGAATGACGCAAGGCTGGATGTCGACAGGTGGCAGGAGCTAAATACTGGCGTGGCAGAGTGGTATGATAGTGCCCCGAAGGAGTCTCTTCCATACTTCGCAAGTCTACCCAGCGATGATCCCCAGAAAGACGGGTCGTGTTTTCCAACATGCTGGATGACACGGCCGCAATACGGTAATGGGCGACACAAACTCCCTTATCAGATGACAATCTTTCTAACTATTCTTCCTATCTGGCAAGTGCTTGCATATCAACACTATTATCTGGCTCGATTGCTTCTGAGTGCCTTTGATCCTCAGCTATGGAAGCCTGGCCCTGATGCTCTGAGAAAGCGACCTGAGGCTGACGTACGATACCAAATTTCCCCTAGCTCTTCTCAACATGAACATATAGCAACCTGACTGTAATACCACAGGATAACATCCGTAATTTCATGGGACTAATTGTTGGGTTGTCGATCAGTCATCCGGACATGATGACAGGACGATTCATTGCGCACCACGCGCTACATGCATGTAAGTAGTTGGCGGCCGCTTCGCCTCTTGATATAACACTAATCTGAAGCGAAAAATTAGTCGGATCATGGATACAGGATGGAAGACAACGGAATGAAGTGCTGGAGTTTCTACAAACACTGCGTGATTTGTCAGGATGGCAAACAGCGCCCCTGATCGCGCGATTGACCCGGCAATGGGCTGATGGGATAGCCTAAGTGGCAGAGAGAGCATGGCCAGGCAAGTTGGCGAGGTGGTTCGCCACGGCGATGAAGAGATCAAACACGTGGGAGGAAGATGTCTGGCTACAATGAACAAGGATATGGTGTAATTACTGGTGAATTCATTGATCAGGCTATTGATTTATCTTTCTGGTAGCTTCCAAGTCTCCTGCAAATACTTCTGGCTTTCTTAAGAGTTAGAAGCAGTCTTCTGATAAACTGAGCCAAGCTACTTACGTTGAGCCCGTTGACCAGCCATAATATGACGAGGTTTTGGTCATGAGGTTTAGTAAAATTGCTTGCTCTTCCTCTTCGTGAAAGTAGTCGCCAGCAAGAGCGATAGCCATGCATGCAGAGCTGAAACGACTCGAGCGTTAGTTAGAGCCCAGAAGAACGGATTGTACAAAGTACTCACAGGTGACCCGGGTTGATTTCTTCCAACGATTCCGCAATCCCACAAACCATCTTTGCATGGCCTCTTACTTGCTCCTATGTCAATGTCAATATATGTTCAGCGACAGCTATCTGCATGCAATATGACCTACGTCAATCCATTCGATGGCTGCCTTCTTTGCTGGTCCTATCCTGGGGACACGGGGGTTATGTGCCGTGAGGAGAATTCTGACTAAATGGTAATATTGCATGCCTGCAGCTGCACAGCTGTGCAGAAACCATATCTCGGGCAAAATTTGGCCATCAGGACCATCTTGGGAAAAGACAGGAGTGAAGGATGACGGCTTGGAAGACATCCACGTGTTGGCGTAACTGAATAGTTGGTCATACGTGGACGAACTATGTGCATCACCGAAACAGTACTGTATGGTGTCAAAAAGATGCAGTAGCATTCTGTTGCACCAAGTGCCGTCGTCTGCCGTCTGGAGAAGATGATCCTGGAGAAGAGATTCCAGCGCATGGCGATCGACAGGCACATCTACGTGCCGTTGATTCATGAGAGCAAAAAACACTTCTTGTCTCAAGCTTGCCCACATGATGGCTTCTTGAAACTCGTCCTGGATATGGAATCTGGGACTTGGGGTGTCCAGAATCGTGAAGCTTTGGGACAAGTCGTGTCTATCCTCAAGATTGAAAATGAACCTCGAGAGAAGTGCGGCGGCCGCGCCATTGTTCCCATCATCGATATGCGATAGAGCAATAGGGCTATCAAGACTTTCAGAGGGATTATCCAAGTCTAGTGAGAGGCCTAGGCTCTTAGCAGATGCGTTGTACACCAGATGAAGGAGGGGCTGGCAAGAAATAGCCCGCTCCGTGAGCTCCCTCCCGACCTTCCGGCCTTCGTCGTAAAAGTCAAATGCAGGGCCAACAACTTGGACAAAGTGTCGAATGAGGAGGGCCTTATCTTTTTCTTTGAGGGCCGCTTGAGGGAGCTCCAGGCGTTTGAACTGCCTGATGGTAGACTCTATGGAACACTCCGATGCCGGCTGAGCCCAATCACGGATAAGCGGTGACTGGCTGATATCTGAGCCAGTCTGAGGTGATATCTGAGAAATAATCTGATCCTCGATAGATAGACTGTTTGAAGCAGGGGGCAGGCGAGAGTTTGGGTCGCAGTTCTCGGCTATTGGCGGCGAAATATGCGCGTGATCCTTGAAACGGTCGGCCGGGAACTCTTCATCTTCAGCTTCTGATCCACCATCGTACTGTCTCGCGATCTCTAGACTTTGGTCAACAAACTCGATTCTTTTTGAAATAGTCCGACACCATGTCTGATCCGAAGGAAATTCTTTTGATCCTCTACTCGAGTTAGTCGAACTCTCCTAGTTCATAACCTGAATTGGTTATGGAATAGACTTACTCTGACATTAAACGGAATCGAGCTTTGGAACCCTTGTTGCAGGATAGCTTTCGCTTAGCACATTGGCTACATGGTAGAGCACCATCACCTGCGCGACTTGTAGTCAGCATGCATCTCGATAGAGTAACAAGAGTGCGAGCAGTTCTTGGAAGAGCCGCATTGAGGAGACTTTCTCACATTTGACATGCCTAACCGATATTCACATCGAACATGTTAGTTTATCATGAGTCCATCAAACATGTGCGGCTATATCAATGCGCCCTTCACCAACCTTGCCCGGCAATTCTAAGTTCATCTCCCATTAGCCATTTGTCAACGTACCAGACGCCTTTTCTACAGCCTTTCGAGGAGATATCAGGATCCTGGATTATATCGGGAGCACTTGTACTTACTTCACATCCTCGTATTCTTTTCTTGCTCTCCGGCATGGTCTGATAGTGCCTATTCTGATCAGGTCACAAAGAGCGGCTTTGGGCGGCAGAGTGGAGCCGGCGATGAGAATAAAGAGAGACGGGTCTGGGTCGCGAGCATGCAGCAGGCCTTCGCGCTTTTATAACCTCATTTGCCGTGGAAGGAAAGTTTCCCCTCGCCCCAGTTCGACATAGTGCGGGGTTCTGGGGAAGTGTGGGTGGAGCTTGGGGGGGACAAGTTGATTCGATCAAGTAGAATCCATACGGAGACACCTTTGATTACCTTTGATCTTGCTGGGCTTCATCTCGCAATCAAATCCAATGGAGCCAATGCTATGCACTCTGTTCACCTCGGGTGTGGATTGCACAAGTTTCTGTTCGGGTATCCTCGTGGTGCGTAGACTTTTATCTTCTCGGGGGAGGTGTAAGTATATATATTTGTTGACATGGCACACTGTCCGACCTGTCATGATTACATGCACTTGTGGCTCTCGTCGCTGTAAAATTAGAAAAGGGTACAGTTCTCATCGGCTGGATTTCGCTTCGTCTGTCTCTAGCCTATCCCTTGGTGGTTTCTTCTCCAAGCGTAATTTAGCTATCCAGCAGCACATATTCCTCTCATGAGGTTTTCTGCCAACTATGTCGTTCCAAGAACGAACATGATGTTGGCGTCACTTGTGCATCGCTACGAGTTTGCATTACTGGGAGGATTCGAGTTGAACAGGATTGAGACATGAATCGTCGCCTTGGCGAGATGCCAACAAGATATGCAGGAGAGCATTTTGAGCTTACTAGATAGCGCGGTCACGATAAACTTGTATCAAGCCTAAGGCTTGTTCTCATTGGTGTTTTATAGTTCTATAAGACTCTTATGAAATTGACATAGTAAAGGAAAATATCAGGTTGTCGTGCTTGATACAGCATGTAGATGTATTTGAGTCAGTGGCAATTGTGAGCTCTCGTCGATTTCAGATGGAAGATTGTAAAAACTATTATTGTCCTTAAAATTTTCTTTGGCGACTTTCATACCATTATTATATTTTACAAGGCGTCCAGTGTAGTGAAGTTTGCAGGGAGAGATTCATTTCCCCAGATTTCTTCTCGCCAACACTCACCACCCCAAACCTCTCGAACGACGTCTCCGCATCATCTCGTAACATAGACCAGGGACTACACTAGATGGTTCGGCCGTGATTCGCGATGTCGATTCCCGAGATTCCAGCTCCCGAGCTAGCGAGGTGATAGATCATCGCTATTGTTTAGCCTCAATTAACGCTATGTAGTTAGCTCGTGGGCCACTAGCCACGATGTTCTGGAGCAGTTCGGGGTGGGATTTCCTTCGCAGATGAATTGGGTAAGATTGGGCGAGCCAACCCTGAGTCGAGAGCAAGGCCCAGCACAAACACTTCCTCTAGAAGACCGCACGATTTGTTTCCACAGTATCCTTGGCTGAGACATTTGCAGCTACAAGCGCAAACCTCAAGCATTGGCGCTCGCACAAGTGATCGCCCCAATCCCCACGTATGCCGGTTCACTCTAGTTGCAGTAGCAATCCAACTTCAGGTCGATTTACGCCCGACAAGGGAGGTTTCCCCGAATCCTTCGACGCATGAATGTGTCCTCGTGATACTTTGGTCTCCGATTTTCCTTGTGACCCCAGATTTTCACCAGCCTTGCTAATCGACAGGAGACTATGGCTGTTTAATGGAGGCCTGTACATACATCCCGCGTAGAAATCTGTGGGGATGTCGAATGGGTATATATGAAGCCGTGTCTTCGTCGCGATGAAGATGAATTCTTAAGACTATACCACATCATCATCATCTCCTTCTCCAATCTCAGCCCCTAACCTCACACAATGGCCCCCAAGAAGCTCCAGGTTGCCGCCGCCGGCCTTGGCCGAATGGGAAAGCGACACGCCATCAACTTTCTCAACCGCACCCCGCGCGCCGAGCTTGTTGCTGCCTTTACCCCGGACCCGGAGGAGATGGCCTGGGCCAAGGTCAACCTGGAGCCCTATGGCGTTACTCTCTACGATGACTACAAGAAGATGATTGAGCAGCCAGGCCTCAATGCCGTCGTCATTGGAACAGCTACATCTGTCCATGCAGAGGAGGCCATTCAGGCAATGCAGAAGAACCTGCACGTTCTCTGCGAGAAGCCTCTCTCCACGAGCATCCCTATCGTACGTCATTTCCCTCCTTGATCCAGTATTCCCAGCTTTGCTAACAGCTATTCAAGTGCCGCCAAGTCGTCGAGGAGGCAAAGAAGCACCCTCACCTCAAGGTTATGTGCGGGTTCTCTCGTCGCTTCGACGAGTCCTACCGTGATGCCCACAACAAGGTGGAACAGGGCTTGATTGGACGTCCGTCCATCATCCGTAGCCAGACCTGCGACAAGCATGACCCTTCGGGATTCTTTGTCGCTTACGCCGCCTGGTCTGGTGGTGTCTTTGTCGACATGTCTGTCCACGACATTGATCTCACGCTCTGGTTCTTTGGTGATGATATCCAACCCAAGAGCGTTTCTGCCCACGGCATCCGCGCTGTCCAGCCCGAGCTCGCCCAGTACAACGACTACGACAATGCCGTCGGGATCGTGGAGTTCTGGGGTGGTAAAATCGCCTACTACTACTGCTCCCGCATGATGGCCCATGGGCAGGAGGACACGACCGAGATCATTGGTACGGAGGGCAAGCTGTCCGTCAACAGCAACCCCCAGTCCAACTTTGTCAACTACTACCATCCCGGCGGCATCACTCGTGAAGTGCCTGCTCACTACTACGGCCGCTTTGAGATGGCTTTTGTCCAGGAGGCCAATGAGTTCACCGAGTCGTGCCTGGATAACAAGCCACTCCCAGTCAAACTGTCAAACGCTGTCAAGGCCGTGGAGATTGGGGCTGCGCTCCAGGAGGCCCTCGTTTCAGGAAAGCAGGTCCGTTTCGACGAGACTGGACGACGAATCGAGGGTGGCTCTAAGTTGTAAATGCGGTTTGGATATATGCATTAGCTACTAGAGAAATTAAAAGGGGTTATGATCTAGACAATAATTTGCCCCCGTTTCCCTGATTTTAACTTGCAAGCGTTTGTCGTAAAAGAGGCCCCTGATGGAGAACTTCTGTAAATTCAACCCGTCCACTCCGCACCCTGAAGGCCCGGCTCTTGAATGATTCCTGGAGCTTCGTACAGCTCGAGGTCTGTTGATGCGCACCCAATGTCTCTGCCCCGGATGGCAAGCCACTGCTTCCGAAGGTCGTGGGCATATATTGGAGAAGAGATGGCGTCTACCCGCATGTCTCCTTTTCGATATGATGGAATAAGATCGTACAACCGATTTTGAAGCGACTGGAATACTATGTCTATACGTATAAGGGCAGGGTCAAAGCTGAGCCGGACCTTATCAGGATTCACATCCTCGCGGTCAAAGAGCAGTCTAAGACACTTCAGTCGTCTGAAGGATCTTCCTTCTTGGACTTCTAAAATAAGGGTTTGGACTTGATCCAAAATGTCCTCACCACATCGGTGGATCTCCAGAGACTCCAAATTCGGAGGAAGACAGTCCGCAAGGTTTGGAGCTCCTCTTACCCGTGGAATGCGCGCAGGGGTGTTGGTATCGCCTATGACAGTGTACCCATTGAAAAACCCAGTGAGAGAACGCATCCCCGTCACAAGACTTTTCAGACACGTCATGTTTCGGAGCTCGAGGCCTAGACAGAGATGCTCGCCTTGGGTAGGGACACCTAGTTGGAACTCTTCCGCCACATTGAGGTGGAGGTACTCAAGAGAATCTGCGTGAGGGAGAATCGACGCCAGAACATGGCCTGGCAATAGCTCTTCGACGGGGCCAGGGTAGATCCCTCGCGTAATTTCAAGACTCTTAACAGCTTTACATACTCTCATCATGCTTTGAAGGACGCGTGGAGAGACGTAAGATCCACGGAGGGTGATTTCTTCCACATTGGAAGATTTAGCCGGTAATTGATTGAAAAATCTTTCGACTTCATTGCCACTACTGACATCAAACCCTTCAAACGAATGGAGCGCATCCAGCTGAAAGAAGGCGCCGGGGTTCCTGTCACCAGGATGGCCTCCCGGACTACCAACGCTTTGTGTTTCACAGTAAATATGTCGCAAACGCGAGAGGGCTGGCTTCAAGCCAGAAGTGATGAGAGGCTTTGTCTTATTCAAAAATTCAAGAGCCCGCAAGAAATGGCGCTGGTGGTAAGGAGTCTCGAAGTAGATGCTGCGGAGGTTGGGGCAGGACATAAGGATAAGTGCAATCTGTGCATCGCTGCACCCGAGTTCAAGGTCTTTGACCCATTCTTCTGCAAATTTCGACATGGAACTTGGACTGAGGGCGTTGACAATATGTTTCCTATATATCGCGAGCTCCTCGGAGCTATATTCATCGAGCAGTCGATCGCCCTCGAGCTCTTCATCCTCATCTAGTGCCTCAGTATCATATCCCATGTTGGGATCTGAAGAGAATTGGCCAAAGATCATATTTTCAACAAAGATAGCCAATTCTGGCCTTGTCGAAAGAATATAGCGGAGGAATTGCGCATTCCGGCGCTCTGAACAGAAACCTCCTCCATGCCTGTGGTCTGTGTTCCGGAAGGTGCGCACTGAAAGTGGTAGTGCGGCGTGGTTAAGTGATTTGCATGTGAGAAGCACGGCTTGAAGGGTCGGCTGGTCAGATGGTGAGGTGAAATGGGACAATACAGCGGTTTGGAGCTCTACAGGTAGATGCTGAAGGCAGCTCGAGTCTCGTGGCACCGTTGATTGCTGCATCGTGTCCATCAAGCTGGTGCTGTGTGGGCCGTAACAGTGATCGTGTGGGTGCTTTGAGCATCGAAATATTCTTTTTGTGTTGTGTTGATATGCAAATGGGACATGACGTGCTGGTCCCTTCAGTAAAAATATCACTCACTCAACTCCATCATGATGGATTTTTCTTAAGCTCCGCGCCACGATTTAGACCACGTGATTACCTTACCGTAGGTATGTTCCTTCGACAATGGCCCACTCAGATCAAGATCATTCAATATGTTGGAACTTTTGCACGTGGATGGAGAAATTGACTGAATGAAAAGACAATTTCAATTCTCTTTGATGATGGGCATAAACAATTACTGGGCTGCCAACTGCTCCTCTTCATGGAGCGTTGACTAACTGTCTGCGCACTTACAAGCATTGCCAGCTGTCCGCCGAATCGACGTCCCCAGAGCCCTTGTAAGTATTTCGTTTAGGATACTTGCAGTGCCTCCGAGACATCACCACTTGAGATGAGTTGGCGTCCTTTTTCTTTCCCAGCAACGAATCAGGGGCAACACCATCCTCAACCCACCGGACCAGAGCTGCCAACGCATTGCTGTCAGGCTTATATTCATCAAGATTATCCCCGCTGGCGCCAATGATGGACGCCCCGTTGCCCCCTCGGCAGTGGTTCATCCCAGAAATGCGGAAGTACCGATAGAACTCATCCAGCTCGGCCGACGTCAGCTCCATCGTGCGCGACACATGGTTGTAGTAGCGTGCCGAGTTCTCGCTGGTGATGACCGTGTCCTCGAGGCCATGGTAATGGAGAATCTTGGTCCCGGCATCTCGCGCCGGCGACAGATCTCCCTTCCATGTCGCCACATTGTGAATGTCGGTCTCCAACAACGCCGGCCAATCTGCTGGACTCAGGGTCGCTGGGTCCCAGGAGGGGTCTTTGTACACGACGTAGCGATACCAATCGGTGCTGTAGGCGAAGGGCTCACCCGAAAGGTAGTATGCGAAAGGCATGTCCTTTGCAGGCTGAATCCGCGGATAAATGAACTTGCCATCAGGCCCATACGTCGGTGAGAATACAGAGCGCACAGTCTCTACCTGCGCCCCGGTCAGGCACCCGGTGGTCTGATTTTTCGCACAAATCAAAGACTCGGGCCGATATTGGCAGAGTTCCGGGTCTTCCAGAAGTCCATCCAGCACACCATCAAGTTTGTCGCACTGCTTAACCATGTCCTCTCCTACAAGGCGCCACTCATCCTCTGTCAAGAATGTTGGATCTCCGGGCTTACCGGTATAAAGGTAAGGTTGGGCGCTCGCATAAAACAGAGATGTCATGGAAAAGGCTGGTGCGCCAGCAAGAATACCGTCGAACTCCTCTGGGAAGTCCTGAGCCGCCTTGAAGCCCTGTCTGCCGCCAGTCGAGCATCCCAGATAATACGACTTGGTGTGAGGTCTGTCATAGAAAGTATTGACAATCTGTTTCCCGACAGTTGCCTCAAGGTAAATAGATCTGTATACGTAGTCCTCGATCGATCCGGGGTTGTTGTAGAGTGGTTCGCCTGATGTCCCGTTGTGGCCATTATTTGTTCCAATGGCGGCGAAACCTTGAGAACTCCCGTATGCTAAATCTGGATACTTGATGCAACCATTGAGGCCCCCGTTGCCCGTGGCCAGGAAACGGCCTGTCCAGTTGAGAGGAAGCCATGCCTCCAGGTTGACAGTGCTAATCGTGCTTGTTGCAATAGAGAAAGACAGCCGGCATATATCTGAGGTGGTCACCACTGACTTGGTTGTGCAAGTCTCGTGTTGGTCTGGGAAAGTGATGTTTGAGCCGGCCGATACAAGCTCTGCAAAATATATAGTCGCATTATTCAAGTGAAGGCTGCGTGCTAGATCTTGGCAAGAAATGGCAGGCTGGAACGAAGCGTCTGCAGAAATGATCGGAACAAGCAGCAGGCTAGGCCAAATCTTCAAGAGACTTTTCTTCATTATTGAGAAGGAGGCCATGACTGGATCAGTGAAAGTTGTGGAGCAGTGTATGAAAAGATTAGGCAAGAAGGTAGACAAGCCGTCCTGAAGCATCGAATATATACCCCGAGCAGTGAGGGGATAACCAGTCTCCATGTCTTTCGGTTCGGGTATACTTTGGGAAAATGAGCGAAATAATTATCATTCCGAGTCGAACAAGCTCCGGATTCCAGACTAGGGGAAGCGGACTGCAACCTCACAGCCTGTGGGCTCATGCAACAATGCTATCATTACCCGCAAACTACCTTTAGTATGCGGGGGGATTGAGGTAGCAGGCGGGAAAGAAAATATCCGGGGTAGTAGCGGGGTATGGAGGGAGAAGAAGGAGACGGAGAAGACGGAGAGGGGACGGATATGTGTAAAGGGGAAAGATGTTCGGTCAACGTCTTAATGGAATAAGGAGAGGATGGAAAACAGCCGGTTTCGATGAGAGAATTAACGAGAGGTCATCGTTCCACTTTTCGCCATAGCTAACTAAACCAAACAAGGAAAGTACCCCGTCCTCATCATTCATTTTCTGATAAAGGTGCGACGATTACGTTTGGATCATATATTAAGAGCTCCTCGGAGACCTTGCCGTTCCTCTCGGTGAAGTCAAGGCTGATAGATGGACTGTCGAGGTGAACCAAAACTCCGAGGTGGAAAGAGGGTGGAGACCGGCCTACAGGCATGTTCCCCCAAGGATTCAAGGAGATATAAAGAGCTCTACTTGGCAGATTGTTCGGTTAAATGTGGGTGAAGAGAGATCTCAAACGGCTATTGCTCCCCGCTTGTTTCTTCCATCAGCCGGGGTTGGAGCTATTCCTTGGATTCGTCTTACAACGAATTTTACTACTTGAATGTATCTTCGTTATTTTCTCGTTCTACAGTCGAGAGTTCTACACTAATCTAATATCAAGAAGTATGATTGATATCTAAATGTTGAAAAGATCTACCCATGCTTCATTTAATCAACTTCCCGTATCAGATAGAGCCACCTATTTGGCAACCAGCGGGTGCAAAGCCTGTCCCCTTTTTAGATTTGAAATACATCCATGCAGTTGCAATCGCGTTTTTACGACAAAAGTGTCCATAAAACTCATTGCAAGCAATGATTGCCCTCTAATACGTTCATGCCCACTTGGGATAGAATCTAGCACCGAAGCCATCAAGTGTACAGTGTTACCGTCATCATTTGCCAGCACCACAATTTGAGCTCCTCTATATTCAGGTCGAGACACAAAGCTGGCGTAAGGGTTTTCCTAAAGTTTCGAAATAATATGATTTTTAAAGAAGCAAGGGTTGGCATCCTTGTCCGAAAAGCCCGTTTCGCCAAGACTAGGCAGGGCTGAGAGCTGATTGGGGGCTTACAACAGCAGCCAAAGACCCAAAACTATAAATGGAGACTCGTGCCCCGTTTGAAATTCCCCTCAATCTTTCCTGACGCCAAAAGTGTTATCTCCCCCCCAAGTGAGCAACTGGCCAGGTCCGAACAGCAGCTTATCCTAGCGACATGCTTCCCGCGGATATTAGATACGAGATCGTATCACACCTCTTGTATCCAGACATTGAAGGGTTCCCTGGACGACCAAAATACCAAAGCTACGGAACAGACTGGGACGATTTCATGCAGCTCCCGCCGCCTAGGCCGTGTAATGACTTCTACTTTCATGGGGAGCTTCAAACAATTGCCACCAGTTTCTATCGCTTAAAGGGAGATATCAGAACATTACGCAACCTCCGCTTAACTTCGCGGGAATGGCTTGCTACTGTCGATCCTTTCCTGCAGAAATGCTCTTCATTCAAGGTTGACGTTGGTTCACGTCAGGCCATGGGGAGGCTCGCAAACGTTATTCGGCCATCTTTTCCTGTCAAGCGCTTGGTCATCCCCTGTATTGAAGCCGCGTTGGCCTTCACCAGGCGCTTCACTTATAACCAAGGCGTCGACCATGATGTGGAGGATGTGGTGGAGTACACAGACGAACCCATTTACAACAACTCGGACGATTTCGCCGCGACGTCTGGTGCTCCCCCCGAAAAGCCCTTCATGGGCTCCCGGCATATAGAGCTTCTGGAAAGCATCTTTCATAATCTTCCCCAGATTGAGTCGTTTACGCTGATGTTCCCCACTTCTGGCGGCACGTACAATAATGGTTGGGAAGGGTCGGCGGACTTTTATGACATGGACGTTGTCAATTCTTCAATAGCCTTCTTCAAGAAAGCTCTCTCCTTGCCCGTTCTCAGCCATCTTACAGATTTAAGACTTCATCTCCCCTGCACTCACAATGTAGGTCAAATCTGCGAAGGCCTAGGACAAGAGGCGCGCAACCAGATTCTACACCTCGAAATTTGCATCGTGGATGCCTCTGGGATTTCGGGCCAGCGTGGGCATCTATTTTTTGACTATCCAGGCGACTACACTGAAGTCGATGGCGACGTGCATATCTACAATTCAGTTCCGTACAGCAACATGCAGAGGGAATTCAACAACCAGGAGCATCAGGATGAGCTTTGGGAGTTTGTGGGGTCCTGCCCGAATCTTCGATCTCTCCATATAGTAGGGTCAAATTTCTTAGATCTCGACAGACTGCGTTGGAAAAAAGCTCCAAACTCTCGAGGCTTGCGCGTGCTCTCTTTAGAAAGAGTATGGGTAAGCTTATCGTCCCTTGAGGCATTACTGCTACCATCACCTCCAGTGGCGCACACAACTCCTCAGCTTCGCAGAATCTGTCTCGGCGATGTGAAGCTTCATGACGACGGAGTCAATTGGGAGGATATATTCAACAACCTACGTGAAGGCTACCCGGAGCTGGAGCTAAGCTACATGGAGCAGTTGACGTACTTTGAGAGTCACCCCCGGTACGCGTCTCTTCAAAGCCCCTGGGATTCGGCTTGGAAGATACAATCTGAAGAAGAGAGTGAAATAAGAGCGATGTATGCACTTGTACAGCATCTTGCCGAGAAAGCTGGTGGTTGGGACTACTATCCGCAAGAATGTCGTGAGTCTGCAGATGACTATGGGTTGGAGGAAAATTAACCGCTCGAGAATGAGAGAGTGTCCCAGTCTTGGTCAGTAGATTCAGAAGAGAAGGGACTACAAAGTCACCTCGGTAAGATTATTATAGCAAGCAGTCACATAATAATGCTTCCTATTGTGTAATAGGAAGCAGGTAATATTGCTTACTTAATAATTTACTGTGAAATTATCTTTGCCAAAATTGACCACATAGTTTCTTTTAGGAGGTAACTCGGGTTGGGTTGCCGCTCCCGATTCCTTTCCCTGTGGCCAGCTCGACTCCTTTGCTCTACTCAGGCACCTGTCGCGGCCGCCTTCCTGGCCTTTTGGATCTGGGCTGCTCGTCGGACACCAAATCCATGCTCGAATACTTGACTGACTTCCTCGAGAGGTAGACCCTTCACTTCAGGATAGCAAATGATGACAAAAATCCAGCCAAAGAAACAGATCCCAGCATAGAACCCAAAAGCACCGCTAGGCGTCATACCCTTCATCATTGACAAGAAGGTAGAGGCAATAATGATGTTGCATCCCCAGCATGTGACGGTGTTCATCATGGTTCCCAGAGCTCGAACCTCAAGAGGCAATAACTCGGTTCCGACCCAACCGATGGTTGCAACGCCAGAGGCGAAGAAGGCGACATAGAATATGATGGTGGCCAGGACCAAGATTCCTGCCCAGTTAACGGAGTCGCTCTCAAGGACGAGGTCGCGGGAGATGGGAATCCAGTGGAAAGCAACCGCAGCAACGACCATACTTATTGCCTATTTATTGTTAGAACTTAGGCAGTCTTGGATCATAATGGACCGTAGTGGACTCACCATTCCTAGAACCGTGACGAGGAGGATTCTACGTCGGCCGACCTTGTCGATGATAAACATGTTTAGAATTGTGAAGACAAAATTGGTTCCGCCAACGACGATAGAAACCGCTGTCGGCTTGTCAAAGCCAACAAGGGAGAAGAGCGTCCCGGAATAGTACATTAGGGTATTGAACCCGCCGAGTTGAGAAACTATCCTCAAAGTTAGAAAGAGCCCAATTGAGGTTTCTTGGCCATACTTACTAGCCATGACAGCGCAGGCACAGATAAGAGCGCGAAGGTTAGAGGGGACACAATGAAGCTGCTTGAATTGCCACAGCAACGATTTGTTCGCCACAATCTCGGCCTCGGCCTCAATATTCCACAGAATACGATCAACCTTGGCTTTGACTTGAGCTTCTGTTGCGTGGGGGTACACCCTAGCAATGACCTTTGTCCCCTCTTCTATCTTGCCATGAGAGAACAGCTGTCGTGGGGACTCGGGGCACCAGGGGAGAAGAATGGCGAGAATAATAGGTGGCACGCCGCCAACGGCGACCATGTATCGCCAACCATTAGGCACGTTTGTAAAGGCAGCGCCAAGAGCGTAAGACATCAGTTGTCCAAGTGTGACGCTCATATTATCGAAGGCAATCATTCGGCCGCGATGTTTTGCCGGGGCAAGTTCACCGATGTACAGAGGCTTGGTCGGGTCAGTCCTTGATTTCGAACCCAAGACACCAATAAAGCAGAAACTCACGATAATCATGGCAGCAGAGCCAACTCCCAGGCCTACAGTGAAACGGGCAACCGACATTTGAGGAATGCTAAAGGCGGATGCCCAGATCACGGAACCAACGAAGAAGAGAGCGCAACCGACGTAAATGCCAGCCTTTCGACCAAACCTATCGGCCATTAAACCTGCAATGACGGCACCAACGAGGGCACCTCCTGACGTAAGAGACGTGATGAGCTCAGACTCGGACGTGGTCAAAGGATGACCGAGGTCATCGCCGAGGGTGACAAGGACGGCTGAAATGACGCCCGTTTCGTAACCTTCCGACAAACAGCTGTTCAGTACCTGGTCGTAGGGAAGAATAAATGGAATTAAATACCGAATAGGAAGCCACCCATGGCGACAGTGAAAGTAATGAGCCAGACAGCTTTGGATGGCGCTGTTTCCTCGATGGAGTCGTCAAAATCAGGCATCTCATCTTGAAACTTCTTTTCAATCTGGCTCCCGACATCAACACTGTTTCTATTGGCATCTTCTGTATGCTCAAATTGACGCTTCTTGGCGGGGTCTTGCGAAGCCATAGTGAACAAAAGGAGAAAAGTGCGAGCGGATGAGGGAACAGGGCAAACAAAAGTGTCAATGGAAGGTCGATGTTATGTCTCTCCTTTGAAGATATGGGAGGAAAAGCACTTGGGGAAGGCAAGCATTTTATAAATATTTGAAAGAAACCATATCGAAACGGCCCAACGCACCACGCCACCGTCTAGTCGTATCCTGGCTTAGATGAATGACTCGCGAAGCATTTTACTGGCCGGTTGCCCGCCTTGCAGTGGACTCACGAGTGGATGTGGGGAAATTTGGAAGTGCATACGCGATATGCTGGGGAAACGCGGAGAACTTTGGAGGAGCCGTTACCCCAGGCTTGCCCAAACCAATCAGCCTAGGGTGAAACTGTCGGGGTTTTATTCCCTTTTACGTTCCAACAGGACAGTTCTCTCCGCTGTCCCTGCCCCTCATGCACATCACGGGCACCCAATGCAGATGGCGCGCCGAGTTTTCCCCGCAACTCACCAGTCATACCACTTCCCTTAAACCTCAGCTGCTCTTCCCTCTCTCTTTCCGGTTATGAAATGGCATGGACTAATCAAATTGGCCTGGTTTAAAGTGACAGTGTGTGGTTGGTGGCCCAAGGAACTCGACGCTTCCCCCCAGATGTTTGGCTGTTAAGTCAAGGCCGGGGGCTCTTTTCCTAAATGGAGTTTTTGAGTAAATATTCTCCGGCTCTTCGTACGCTCTCTGTTGTAAGACGATACCAGGTGGAGACCTCATCCATATTGGGCTCCTGTACCGTGCCCATGTGAAGCAGACCTGTGTCCTAACACCCTGCTGCCCGAAGTCACCCTAGGGAGGGGAAAGGCCCAGTCCAATGTGGTATTGTTCATGCTCCGGATGAATATAGGAGAAAACTCCGGCCCATCAGCTAACTCTGCAAGAATTCCCCCAAAGTGATCGCTTATGACGCGTGCGTGAACTTCGATATTGTATTACACAACTAGATTCATGGAAAACACTTCTGGGTGGTTCAAGCGCCTTTTCTAGCTAGGTAACGGAGGGAAAGGTGTTACAGTGAAATCTCAATGGAGTGTAGGGCTTCTCTCATCTTCATTGCCTGGTCGAGGCATGGGGTATAATTCTTGAGAATGTAGTTTCATTTTTCGTTTAACCAAGGATGGTTCAAGCCGCCAAGGCGGCGCTGACATCTTGATTTGGACCGTGGCTTGGAGTGAGTAATTTGATTGAATTACAATTCAAGAGCGTCTCTGTGCAAATTCTTATGCTTCACTGCGGCAGGTAGCCGGCCCCCAAATGGCCACCATAAAAACAAGGACCGCAGAGTCACCCCGACAGAATTATCGTGGCAATCACATGACAATGCTTCCTATTGTGTTATAATAGCTAATCATTAGATAATACTATCCAATGATTGCTTAATAATTTATTATTTATATTTATACACCAGTTATTATCTATCATCATTATAATTATAGCCTTAGAAAGTTGAGATAAAAAACATATTTACCGTCCCTGTTATTCTAACGCCCACTGAGCCCACAGGTACTGTGTATAGGTCTACCCGTAAACCACCTACCCTACATCCTGTCACATTAAATTGCCGCGCCGATAAAGACATCTAAAACGCATGGTAGAGGCTTATTAATTTGGCGTGGAAATGCAGCATGGGTTTATTTAATATCCTTAAGAGCTAAGTAGAAACAAGCAGGCGAAAATTTCACATAAGTCTGAGTGCAGCATATTGCCACTAAACACACTAAACCTATGTGTAAATTTGCCCACATCCCTTTTCCTCTAATTAATCGTGAAACATACATTTCGTAGCCACCTTAATGCAGCTGGAGGTCTCGATCATAGCATCCCAGTATGCTGAGAGCATAGCTGTTCTTGCAGGAAGGGTCTTTACAGCACTCCTTAACCCGTCTTGTTCTTGGCGAGTTATATGATGAACGGTCCATGGCATGAAGCCAATCATGACTAGGTATTGCTTTCAACCCCTGGTCGGGACAGAATCCCTCGATAATCCTCTTATAACCGGTCACTATGCAAGGAGATTCAAAGGCATCTTTCTTGTTTGCGTGCTGGCAAATATTGACCCGAACATGAGTATGCTGAGCAGTTTCATGAGGTTGCTGGTGGCTACATGCTTTGGTGTCAGCATGAAGAGGAATATGGGTTTTGCGTATATAATCTTGAACCAGCGTATCTGCCTTCCCATAAAGAAGCTTTCCGACTTGTGCATCGTTGCCATAATCAAGACAATCGCATCCGCCAATACGGAAGCAAGTCATTTCAGGGAGAACATCATGTGCAATCTCTGGAACAATATACTGTGCTGCACTGCGTCGGTATTGACGAAATTGATTGCGAATCTCAACAGCATTGAACTTCCCTGTGCGGTAGGAGAAAAAGGCCACCGGCCCTGAGTGCGGCTCCCAACTTAGCTCCAATCTCCATTTGCCTGTATTGTGAAACATCAAGCGGGCTCTGGGAGTATTGGAAGTACAAGTTGTGTACTGATGGCTAGCGTGTAGACAAGTCTTGACGTCTATTTCAACCACGCTGCCGGGTTCAGAATCACCCCTGGCTGCCATCGCCCGGCACTGAGAAAGAAATACTCTCATCAGTGCCCATGTGATAGCTTCGTGTTCACACAAACGAACATTCCCCAGGATCCCGTTGCAGTCGCGTCGCTGGTTCGACCTTGTTTTTCTTCTCTCTTCGTTGGAAAACATTGGCCACGGCTGTTTCCGACTGCACGCGTTGCAATATTGGGGGTGCAGATATTGCACGGAACTTACAATACCCCTGGCAAAGTCTGGCTTCTCCCCTTCTCTCAGGCCGGTCAAATTCAAGGCATCTGATGCAGTATGAATCGATATGGAGAAGGATAGCGATTTCAGCACGCAGAGCAGCATCTTGTTCAGTTTCAGTCAGGCGTGGGGGCGACGGCAGGGACTTTCTCAAGGTAACAGGGTCCTCAAAAAAGATATTTCCCCCGTTCAGCGCCGTCGGCATAGTATAGCTGTTGGCGGGTGCAAAGCGGTGGTGCTGAAATTGGGGCAGTTTCAGAAGAAGGCGGAATTTCCTAGAGACCTGTCGAAGAATGAAAATCGACACCTCGTCTTGGTAAAGGATCTCTAAGACGCGGATCAAGATTTCTTCTGGAAGTAGATAAAGAGCAGAGCAGTAGTGTTCATTATACATGATTCTGGCAACAAAAGGGTCCCTGTCCTTTTCTAATTGAGAGACCAATGCCTTGGTGTGTTCCTGCCATGGTCTCAGGGCTCGTTTCCGTCTTGTGTCTGTGATGAAGCCCCATTTGTGTAGCCAGCTCACAACTTTTGCTAGAGAGTTTGGCATCGCGGCCTTGCCGAGAGATGACGGGGCGATAGTATGGAGAGAAATCTCAGGATATAATCCTGAATTGGGCGTTTCGAGTGTTTTGGTGGGAGGCGGGGAGAAATGGTGTAGAGTTTAGATGTGACAGAGGCGGGAGATGTGGCTTTATAATCTTCTTTCCTCCGATATCGCCCGTGCAGTAAAACTACAATGAAAGATTTAATTAAGTTGGACCATTATAAGTTGTCTGTGATTATTGGAGGAGTAAGATCTTAAGGTTCATGAAGGGGGTCATGCCGACAAAAGAGCTATTATGCCGGGCACAAGCCAATGTTAGCATTAGACCTTAATATTTGTGGCCGGGTGCAAGCCTCTCAACCGGGCAAAAAGGTTGAACTTTGATATGCTGGCCGCGTTGCGATGCCACGTATATGCTAATTTGGGATTTAGCTATTCGACTACCAAGACACACTTGACAACCGATATCGCAGTTACATATCTCACGTAGGGAAAGGATTTATGAACAATAACGGGGAGAGTGTTCAGTCATTCAATAGCTTGTTACGTATATTAAAAGCCTGTTATACAGTCAAACAGGCTGTAATACAGAGTGAACTATCTGCTACCATGACGAGTCATCGCTATATAGCTGACCCAGGTGCTCTCATTGAGACGAGCGATGGCTGTGTGAATGACCTAGTTGCCTATTGTCAAGACGCTCAATTGCTTTAAAGCTGGCCTTGCTGTCCGTTACCGTAATAAGTAATTTTAATATGCCTAAACTAGATTTATTTTAGTAATAATCCGCTGAGGTAGTTACTTTGGGTACTGTATTTATTGGAAGCTGCTTGTAACGTATGCCAAGTAAGTTGCAATATCGGAGATAAAGCCCAGGTGGTTTGGTAGTGGAATCCTTCCATTGTAAATTTCTTGGCGTCTAGTCCTCTTTAATTCCAGTTGTCAATCAGCCAATAAGAAACCTAGATAGCCTATGGCCCACTGAGAGGGAAAAATTAGGCAACAAGCCTCGATTCACGCTGAGGAAAAGCCCCTTTTTAAACACGTCTTCCCCCAGAGTTAAAGTAGGTACTTTTGCAGCCACACACATCATCATGTACAACTGCCCCGTTCCGCATTAGCAACTGCCTTAGCCGCCATATTTCCTGCGTCTGCTGCACGATACCGCGGTCATGGTCGTTTGGGTTTTCCGCGCCGTGCGCAAATCCCTCGAGGATGACGGGCTCATTGGTCGGGTCACTGAGAGCACCGCCTACCGGACCATAACCAGTCTTCGGCAGATACTCTTTATCTTGCAGCCTTTGCTGTGGGGCGTGGAGAAATTGTTCGGGAAATATGCCATGGACCCTATGGATCGTGTATTCTTTGAGATGAATCTAGAGCCTGGCAAGCTCGGGCCTTTGGGAGAGGCCCTGCAGTCTGAGGCAGTCCTAGCGCTAAACAAGTTCATGTTGGCCTGGATTCTATTTGACGCGGCCCTGGGAATGCTGTATTCCGTGCTCGAATCCTTCACCCTGGAAGAACACGAGAAAGCACAGCGTCAATATGACAAGGAGCGAAAGGAACTCGGAGACGTCGATGAAGACGACAATGCCGGAACTAACATGATAATTTCTTTGACGGAAAGCCGAGTGTTCAGATATGTTTTCTGGGGTGTTATTATTTCCTCTTTCCTGAGCATGCTCAATGACGCTGGTACGGCTGTCAGTGAAGAGCTCGCATATATGAGAGCCACGCCCAGCCCCGAAATCACCAAGGCCAATCTAGCCAAGATCAATCCCTGGCGAGATTTCCTTCCTGAACAGGATCCAGTTCTCAGAGAGGGTAAGTTCATAGTTGGCAGCTCACTTGTCTCACCTCATACTGACAGCCTCAATAGTGGTATACATGAAGAATGTCTTGCGCGAGCTGACTCCAACTACACTGCCCGAGGATGACTATCAGTTATTCTCAGACATGATCCGTAGCTTGGAAACTCGGACAGATATCTGCTGGAGGGTCTTCGAGGAGACAGACATTCGCCAGACCATTCTCGCGGCTGCGAACCGAGGCTCAGCTAGCAAACCAATTGCCGACGAACCATTCTCCATCCACAGCCGAGTAAAGGCTCTTCATCGCCACTGGGGTGATCTTGAGCGCGCAGCTGGAAAACCCGAACGTTGGGAGGATGCCAGTGACACGACCTTCCTGGCGCCCTTGATCGCAACACACCCATTTGGCGAGCCTGAGGCTGGTAACAAAGCGGAGCCGGGAGGTGGTGGCTTCAAACTCGTCCTCACCCCTGAGCAGGAGGCGGATGCGACTGAGAGATACAACAAGTGGCGGCGAGATCGCGACCGCAAGGTTTCCTATCTGAAGATCCACCCGCCTACCCCGATGGCCTGGGTCCCGATGGCCAAGTCCGACACCGGAGTCCGGAATGCCTGGGACAGCGCATTCCCCGATGGCCGCGTCCAGGCTGGCCGCAGCGTCCCCGTGGGGAAGCTGGCGGGAGACCAGCAGTGGAAGCCCATCTTCAGGTCTCTGATAACGGAGAATATACCGTGGGGTTGGGTGGCGCCGGGAGAAGAGCCCCAGACTCCGGAGGAATCCAGAGCGGAACTGGATGCAATGTACGAGGAGTCTGATCGAGTGGAGGAAAGGAGAACGAAGCAAAATGAGTACATTGCGCAGTTAAAGAAGGAGGCGGATGAGCGGAAACAGAAAAGCGAGCTGTAAGGCTTCGAGACTCTTGACCACTCGAACTATGTCTAGCATCGAAACGGCCACCGGCTGCGTGTACATATAAGACGACAAATTATGAATCCCCACACCCCTGTTTTTGAAGAAATTTCCCACTCTATTTTCTAACGAGTGTTCCTATATCCTAGCAGTTATTGAGCGGAATTCGCATTCTTCAATTTGGCAGCAGCCTCCTCTCTCATTCCCTTGATCATATTCGCCTTGAGTGCATCGCCAAGCCACGACGGAAGCGTCCTGATGACCCATAGGAAGATCGCCTGTGGGAGATGGGGTGCTACGCGTGCATGCCCGCATCCGATGCTTCTCACGACCGACTTGGCATACGTTGGCGCGTCGGGAAGCATCAAGTTCGGGTCGTCCTTGATCGTGTCCGTACCTGTTACTCCTGCTACATCGATTCCCAGAACCTCGATGTCTCGGCCCTCTATCCTATTCTCCAGCCTCAGCTCGGCCGTGGAAGCCATCAAGAACGCCTTGGCCGGCCCATATGACGGGAACAAGGGAAACCCCTCAGCCGCCAAGGAACCCATGTTGATGATGAGCGCCGGCTGGTTTCTGATCAGTTGCGGGTACAATGCGCGCGTGAGGAGCATTGGAAAAACAGCGTTCCCCGCCACGTTGATTAATAGCTCGTCATAGGTAAACGTATCCAATGCGTCAAATGGCGCTCGCACCTCGGGTCGGGCTTGAGGCATCCCGACGTTGTTAACCAGGATACGAATGTGAATATCACCCAAACTCTTGACGGCTGCGTTCAGCTTTGCCTCCAGATCAGCCCCGTTGAGCAGCCCGCATATCCGGGCATCGAGGACCAGCGTCCGGACGGAGCGGGAGGGGTGAGCTGCTTGCAGCTCCTCCTTTACAGCTTCGAGTTTGGCTGCGTTGGAACCGTGTAGAACTATGTTGAAACCCCAGCCGGCGAGTTCAAAAGCGAGGGCGCGGCCGAGGCCAGCTCCCGAGCCTGTGATGAGCGCCCACGATTCCTTGGCGCCGGCACCGGGGTTGGGCTTGACTTCCAGATATCGACGCACTCCGGAACGTCGAAAGAAGAATGCAATGTTTGTGGCGAGGCCGTATCCCCAGCGAGCAAGGACCAGTAGCCCCAGTGAGCTTAATGATAGAGTCACGGCGGTAGCCATAATTACCTTAGTCTCCGGCTTTGTGTTTCAAGTTTCGGGCTTCGACTATTGTAAAGTGCTAGCTATAAGCGTAGGATTCGATTTTCCCCAAGTAGAATCCGTTTGCATATCTTGGTAAACAGTCGTAATTTATAGAGTAGAAAGGAATGTAAAGTTTCCTCGGAAAAGGACCTGAAGGGACAAATATACTCCATGCTACCACTAATACAAGATCATATTAAAAGTTGCAGATTTCATGTGGGACTTCATCAGCGCTAGCTGGTGGCCAATCGCATCCGCCTCGACGCGAGCTCCCCATCGGATAGTCCGGCTGAGGTAGAGGAGGGATGGTATGATAATATGAAACAACTCAGGGCGAGACCTGAGCGTACTCTCCCGCCCCGCTGTGATATCCCACCATTCCGTTTGGCCATGCGAGCCAATCCTCCCAGGCTGGACCAAGCTGGTCATTGATAAGATGGACGAGGCGTCTCCCCAAATCTCCGACAAACCAGTAATCAGAGGCACGATGGAGCATAACAGCGTAGAAGGCGAGAATTACAAGCGACTCCGGTCGTCTCTGCTGGATGCATGATACAAACTCGGCTGACACTCCAACCAACCAGTCTTGTAGGGGTGCCAAGTTGCCCTGCTGAAGAGCTGCTGCGTTGCGCTCATTGTCGAATAGATCCTGCAACAGCTCGACGGCTTCAAGATGTACTGCGATAGATGAGGTGCTTAGATCGCTCTTCTCGAGGCGAGTCTTGAGGCTATCACACTCGTCATCCGAGGCAATAATTCTATCCGTGGGTTCGCGTAGACAGGTCTGAAGAAACTGCTTCTGAAGCTCTGGAGAAAACATCGGCCAACAACCTGCTGCAACGGCCATAAGCCCGCGATGGACCGGTATAGAACGAACCAGCCCATCTATGACCGCACCCAGGTCCTTTTTGGAATCGCTGAGAACGTCGAAGAGGGTGTGATGAGCCAACAGCGAGGTAAATATGAACATTGGGAGACAAGTGTCCGCTGAGACCTGGGGATTGGCATTGTTGTACAAGGTTAGCCCCCGTGTCTGGAGTCTGGTGGCTTCCGTGGCGTAGAGCCGCTGAAGCTCTCTATTCTTTTGATCACGATCACGCACGCTCTCATGGGCTGCGCTGTAGGCCAGTACCTCGTCCATGACGTAGGGTGTCTTGAATGCCTCCTTTATCATCATTTGCAGCAAGTCATCCAGTCCCGGATGTGTTAACCTCATGTATTCGCAAGGCTGGTGCTCAAAAAGGTAAAGAAGGTGCAAATGCAGCGAGCCATACCGCTCTTCCAGCGAGCTATCGGCCGGCTTGGAGTGAGAGCTTCCCGTGCCTTTGACATTTGGCAAGGGCTCGAGCACCACTGATGGGGCGGCGCTGGGAACTGACTCCGTGCTGGAGGAGTTTGGTGGGGATGGAATCGAGGGAGGCAGTACGGGGACATCGGCGAGAAACGAGCAAGTTCGCCCGGTTTGCGAGCATCGCTTGCATGAGGGTCGCGTCTCGTCGCACTTGACTCGGCGCACCTTGCATACTTTACAGCCCAATCTGGATTTGGCGTGAAGCTTACGCATTCTGTCGAGTGGATGGAGACCGCTTTGGTAGTGATTGATGTAGGTTGTGAGACTTGCGGGCCGCCTGTAGTCACACCGCACGACTGACTTCAGTGCGATGATGTTTGAGCAGGGTGATATGCATAATGCAGAGGGCGCTCTGTGGAGAACCTCACGGATTCATGCTCATCCGATTGGTGCATGGAATCAGCCAATCATAACGCACAGTAAACGACAGTATTTCCTAGGGACTGCGGAATGGATTTGCCCCTAGAACGTGCTTACACATTGGTAATATCAATGCTGACATGCACACGTAGGGAAGTCAAATGGAACAATAATGCAAGATATCCAGCCTTCGTAAAATACGCCCTATCTGACATTTTCTCCAGTCATCCCCCTACTTTATTTGCCTGTTATTGGTTATCCCTTGAGAGAATCCCGCGCATCCCGTCCGAGAGCTCAAGCTTGCATGACAACCGTTTCCACCACTCCGAACCCCTGCCAAGTTCTTCGGCCGAGATATGCCTTCCAGCATAAGCTCTCTCATTTCAAATGCCCCACAAAATATAAGGAGAAAGTTAGCTCGAATCCTCTTGCCATACATCGAACGGAGAACAGTGATGGCATTGCCATTAAGGTATGGCAACTTTCAAGCCTGGTTTGCGCACTTGAATATGTTGAAATGCTGTGTATCGCTTTCGACCTCTAAATGAAAACACTCATATGATGTTAAAAAATTATGACTCCTTCGGGCCTCGGCGAACCCCTGCACTGCCACAGTCCACGTCAGAAATAAAATAATAACCGAAACAATCTTCAAGAAATCTCTCTACTTTCAAAACTTCATCCATCAACATCATCAACCCAACCCAGGACAATGATGGACAGTGTCGCCACACACAACGCGCCCCTCCAGGACCAGGTGCCACTGGAAGTTCAGGAAAAAATAATCCAGCAACTTGATCCTGTCGGCCTCATATCTCTCAGCCAAACCAGTCGCTTTTTTCGGAACCTGATTCGGCCAGGGAGGAATGAATTTGCGGAGCGACTGCTCATGATAGAATGCCTGGAGCGATATGGAGGTGGCACCTCACTTTTCTACACAACATTCCTGGGCAATGTAGAGCTACACCGAACCCTTGGCCCCTGGGAAGGCCAGCGGTGGGCATGCACCAGCTGTTTGAAATTACTTCCCCACAGTCACTTTGATAACCACTCTCTTCTGCGGCTTCGCAACCGGAAGCCATCACCGGAATGGCCTACTGCTGGCCTCACGACGTCGTGGGTCCCTTCTCTACACGGGAGGAACTCGGGGCGGAAAGCCAGGCAGCTGACAAAACTGGCAAAACTAGAGGAGAAGAATGTGATGGTGGAGAGCGGTGAGGACTGGCCCGTGCCCGATAAGGAACGCTGCGGATATGGTCGTCGAAAACGTCGATGCAATGAGTGTCGATTCAAGGAGAGAGCGCTCACACCGTATCTACCGCGATCGGGAATCGACTGGGAGGGTGGTACCCGAGAAGTGCCCATCGTCCGAAGCCGGCAACTTTTACTGGATTCGTGTTTCCACCGATATTTTCCCAGACTTGGGGACGTGTTGCAATGCAAACCGCCACCGTTTCCACCACGCGTATACCGACCTTGCCGATGGGATGAGGCTCATGAGCCTTGGACACTGTACATGATCCGCTGCCCTGGATGCGAACGATGGAAGGAGGCCTATGCATTTCGGATTGGCCCTCTCTATGTAAAGCGGACGCTAGTTCACAACCAAGACGGCGAATTGAAGTATTATTATTCCAGGAAAGATGATTACACCCATTGGGAAAGGAAGAAAATATCTCTCAAGGACCTGCGGTGCAATAATTGCGTCGAGCGGCAGCAGGGACGCCAGGCCTTGATTGAGGCTCTCCTGCTCTGGTTTCGTATGGTTCAATTTTCTCATCGCAGGGAAATTGAGAAACGACTTCAATCTATCCACTGGCGGTTGGATTTCTTCGATGGGGAATTCACTGAACACAAAGAGGAGATCAAAGATATACTGAGGGAGAATACGGGAGATGTTGGTCTTATGGAATACGGCACAATTGCGGCATTACGCACACAGGCTGCACAGTTTCGGGAACTATGGGGGAGAATGAAACATACCAATCCTGTTCTTGCAGATGACATAACACGAGATGGAATAATTCCTCTCTGGATGGATCACTTTTCAGAGTCTGAGGCGGAGTGGGCATGGCTGCTGGCTTGCCTGGCAAAGGTTGAAGAGAACCCGGGCCTCTTGGCAGACTGGGCACTAGAGCAGGATGCTGGATCATTGGAATGGTGGGCATGATTACCTACAAATGATCAACTTAGATCATTGCGCCACGGTTCTTCTTTCCTGTGTAGGTCGACGCTGCCACCGTTATACCTGAAAAATTATTAAGTTTTGATTGAGCCTACATTGCTTAGAGAAGGAAGTTATTTTCGTATCTCTATACTCGCTAGAATCAAATACATTTTCTTGTACCTCTCATATAGACAAGGAACCACCGAATATGAAACTACCTTATGATGAGTTATCGAAGGAGCTCTCATCCTAGCCATAGGCACGACCACAGTTGTCAAGCCCAATGTCATCCGCCTTCTAAAATTGCCATTTTGCATTACGGCTTTAATAATGAGTGCCAATATCATCAGATTCCTGCCTCCTACATGGGTTTATATGTCGAGGCCCTGGATAATAAGAGAATGCGTCTTGCTAAGTTATCAATGTTAGAGAGTATTACTCTGTGTTCTGTGATATTCGCCAATATTGCCAAGAATAGTCATGAATATCTGATTTTTGTGAGCTATAATCTCTGCCTTGAGTAATTCAACCGGGCCACCAACATGGAGCCTCGTCCCGTCTTGGTCTTCGAGCAGACACATCTAAACCAACTAACCATCATCTTCCCAAATATTTGACTCCGCTGTTTCAAATAACCTGAATTAATTTTGGCCTTTATGGTAGAATTATCTAGAATGTCGAGTCGGTCCCAGTGTATATGGCGTGACGCAGGTGACAGGCTATCCCTGATGCGAATGAGAATCTGACCTAGGATCTCGGACTTAGTACATCATCCATTATCTTCTTAAGAGAATTATCTAGGTTTGTATTACGCAATAGGATCCATCAAACACCAACGTACAATATCCGCCCCCAGGTTTGTGGGGGAGGATACCTTTGTTGATGCACGTTATGACCGCTGGTAATTGCGCTCTCTGGGGATCCGGGGAACTTGGAAATGATGGACATCTTGGTGTTTCAAAACGTAACAAAATGAAGACTGACCAGCAGCTACTTCCTTTTCGAGACTCTCATAGCCCTGATCCCAGACACCGGAAGAATTCCCGTTGCCGGTCTCGGGATGGAACCCGTCAAGAGAAAATTTGCTCACGGCACCTTGAAAAAAATGGAGCTGTAGGATACATATATGACTCTGGGTATTTGGGCTAGACGACGCTGATTTGCTGGGTTACTTGTTGGATGATAGAAGTCTGCGGTTATTGATCGGGCCAGCAATCCAGTAAGATCAGGCTCCCGTGCGGATTAGTGACTGCCGAACTTGGTCTCGAGGTAATGGTGGCTTAACAACATCAACTGTCCTACTAGCTAATTGAGTAGATTTGGAGAAACCTGTCAGGATGGGGCTGCATGAGAGGCCTTCAGGCAAATGACACAGAGGGCAGCTCCCTACCCCAACCACTTCACAAGGGAGTCAGATTATGAATCATTTCCGTCAGGCCACCAACCGATGGCATCTGCCAACCGGCCAGTGGCACTGAGGTATTTAATTAGCTGATTGGCCTGTGCTGCGTGGTCGAAGCGGGTCGGTTGTTTGAAGCGATTCCATCATCGTGGACCCAATATGTCGCCTAGACCTTCCTCCATGGACACCATTTCGTGCCGCTGATTTGGAGATACCTTAGTAGGTAAAATACTAGTACGTAAGAGATTGTTAAACAGCAACCTTTTTCGGCATCCCCGCACTCAGCTGGGACTCTTTACCCCAGGTATCTGTCGTGGCGATGGAGTATTTGTACCAAGGGCACGAACTGATATTGGGTCGTTTAGATTGGCAAGCGTAAAGTTGAAGAGAAGAAATTGCAAAATTATGTTCTCTCAAGCTCTTCGACTCGCTTCAGAACCCCTGGAGCTAACCAGCCTCGTAGTGATGTAGACAACAGAATATAAGATCAGCTATCCGTTACTACCGTCGCCTCCAACTTTGTGCTAAATTTTTGGGCTGTTGATGCGAAGCTAGTCACCTGTTTCTCGTAAAGCGCCGAGAACCCCTGAGGCCTGGTGCGTCATCCAGCCATTGCAAGACAATAGCTGTGGGGATGGCGATGTGTAGACAGAAGAGCTCAGGCTAGGCTCGCGCCATTTTTGTAACTGGTTCAATCTCGGGCTCCTCTATGCTTATCATAGGGGCCGTGCGGATGAAATGGAAGCTAATCAACGCCGGAGACTCAAACCCAATTCTCCCTGCGCCATATCAGCAAGGGGTGGAGATTTAATGATGGAAATAGCTGACTGTCAGGTCTGATTTCAACGATGTCTCGTGTCAGTATCCTAACTAGGTACACTAGTTCCACACGCCCTTCCCTGGTCCCCATTGAAATCCGTACTTAGCCTCCAGATGAACCTTCGACGTACTCCGAATTGCCGGGGAAAGCCCTCATTCACCTATAAATATGGTGGGCTCCCTTGACTCAAACAATTACATTCTTTCTCCCCAGTGACGCTATAACCCTTCAACCAATCCATGCTGTCTTAAACCCCTTTTCTGATATCGTGCTTGAGCAGTCTATCCCATCTGGCCTGGCTACAATAGGGAATACCGAGTCTTTTTAACCCCACCGCCGATTCATTGTCAGGCTAGACTTCTAACCAAATCGATATGGCGATTTCAAAGAAGTCGAGGCCGAACGAAGAGATGGAAGTCTCCGATGTTCCAGCTTCGTTGGCTGGCGACGTACAAAAACCGGCAGGCGATCACGATGCAGTATTCGGCGAGATCACAGAAGAGGGGCCCAACTATCGAAACGTGTGTTAAGATTCCTGGGTGTACAATTCGATAAACTGACCGTGCGTTTGCTAGGTCGGATGGATGGGCACGGTTGCCTTGATGATGAAGACGATGATCGGCCTGGGTGTGCTTTCGATCCCGTCTGCCTTTAATACACTTGGAATTGTCCCGGGAGTCATCTGTATGTGTACCATTGCAGGGATCACAACTTGGTCGAACTATATTGTTGGCGTGTTCAAGCTACGGCACCGGGAAGTTTACGGCATCGACGATGCTGGCGGTTTGATTTTTGGCCGGGCGGGCCGTGAAATTCTTGGAGCGGCTTTCTGCATCTGTGAGTTCCTTCATCCGAATGGGGATGTTATACCATCTATGTCTTGTTCTGACTTCCCCTTAGATTGGATATTTGTGTCTGGGTCGGGCATGCTTGGCATTTCCATTGGTTTAAATGCAATCTCGCACCACGGCACATGCACTGCAGTCTTCGTCGCCGTTGCCGCGATTATCGGACTTTGTCTCGCCAGCATTCGGACCCTGGGCCGAATCAGTTGGATTGCTTGGGTTGGACTTGTGAGCATTCTTTCGTCCAGTAAGTACTAAGCTTCTCGCTACTGCTGGCCATCTAACCTGGTGGCTGACTTCTGTATCTAGTCTTCATCGTCACTGTCGCCGTTGGAGTCCAGGATCGACCCTCTGCTGCGCCCCAAGAGGGCCATTGGACATCGGACTACAAGATTGTCAACCATCCGTCATTTACAGAAGCAGCCACTGCCCTCTCCTCTCTCGTCTTCGCCTACGCTGGCACTCCCGCCTTCTTCCCCATCGCCGCGGAAATGCGTGATCCTCGACTGTACACCAGAGCGCTCGTCATTTGCCAGGTTGGAGTCACTGCCACGTATCTCGCCATTGGCTGCGTGGTTTACTACTTCTGTGGCTCATATGTGGCATCGCCAGCTTTGGGCTCGGCAGGCCCCTTGATGAAGAAAATATGCTATGGATTGGCACTACCAGGCTTGGCTGCCACCACAACCATCGTCATCCATGTAAGCTCTGTATGCTAAACTCGATAACATTTTACTCACTAACACTATACTCATAGCTCCCCAGCAAATACATTTTCCTTCGTCTCATGCGTGGATCCAAGCATTTGATCTCAAACAGCGCTGTTCATTGGGGCACATGGTTAGGCTGCACCTTTGGTACCACGATTATTGCATACATCATCGCCAGTGCTATCCCCGTATTCGGCGACCTTGTATCTTTAATTGGTGCTCTGTTGGGAACACTCATGTCATTCCAGCCCATGGGTTGCATGTGGCTATATGACAATTGGAGCAAGGACAAGCAGGACCGGACGGCAAAGTGGTACGTTATGGTCTGTTGGTCTTCATTTGTCATTCTTTCAGGAACATTTTTGATGATCGGTGGTACATATGGATCTGTCGTTAGCATCATCAACTCGTATAAGGCATCAGGGGGGTCAGCTGCTTGGTCTTGTGCAGACAATTCTAACTCCGTCTAAGTCTAGCGACATATTCAATTGGTCATATCAGACCTACCAATTTATAAAAGTTTTTGCTACAATTGCTTCTAGATTTTGGTCACTAGAAGTTTCTGAGTTGACAACCAAGCCCATTGTATATTGTTTTGCACGTGGTTTTGGGCTTTGGCCATTACAGAGACGAGGGCCATCCGGATTTCCCGACCATTCGGGTTATCAGTCACATACCAAAGGCCTCAGTATCGGAACTTGCCAAAACAGCTCGTCCGCAACTGGAACGAGTTCAAATTCACCTTCCTCGTCAAGAACTAGAGCTCCGATGCCCTCAAACTAATGACTTTCAGCTGCAGAGAAAGATGGCCAATGATATATGTGCGATCAATCACTCGGCCAGACTTTTATACACATCATCAGCATTGCATCCTTGACACAAGACAACCGGGTAAACTCGTCACCGACGTCATAATCCCGGGCAATGGAATCATGATGTTTGGACAGCCAGGACAGCAACCTCGTTTAGTGCCTTGACGGTAGGCAGCCAGGTGTGTGAATGCAAGTTTGTGGCAGTGATGAAATACCAACCATTGCCGGTCACCAAACGCCCCACGTTCCCTTCCAATCTTTTACGCTTTCGTTATTCATACACCGCTTATGCTTATCTCCTCCTTGGGGCCAAGCTCTGCTGCAGTCAGGGACTTGACCGCAGCAATGTCAGCAGTCGCCTCAGCCACTGTCTGACTCATCTGACCGACCTGAAACTCCACACAGAAATCAACAAATACCCCAAGACCGAAAAAAGATCAATATTCTTAAACACACATCAACCAACAGCGCGAGCAGATGTCCAGCATACTCCAACGATCATCAATCAGGGGAGGCCTGGTCAAGCAATGTGTATCTTTCCGCCCTCTCCCAAGCCGATTCCGACACTTGACGGTTATTCCTGATTGGCGAGATTCAACTGCGCGATTCGGCTACTCCACCCCTCCTTCTCCCACCCAAAGGCGACTCTTTAGCCAGAAGATAGAAGGGGTACCGGTATTGAACGGGGCTGGGGAGCATAATCGAACCGAAGAGCCAGAATCACCGGAAGACATGGAAGAGGATATACCCACAGCCGAGAAATGGAAACAACTTGTGACGGCTATCGAGAACACCACGAAAGAGGCCATTAACGCTAGCCCTCCTTTTGATGTGTCTTCACCTGCTGTCTTTCAGACCTACTGGCGAGATGTTTTCAGCCGTTTAAGGAGTTCTGTTGTTGCCGACAACACGATACCGGAATTTTTAACGGACCCGCCTGTGAAGAAGTTCTCAATAACATTTATGGATGTCCTTCACGGACTGGCCTGTGCATGCTGCCACCCCGAGGAGGCCCAGGCTAATGTCACGCTGGAGAATGCTACGGGTGTTACAAAGGCAGATTTGATGGATGGCGTGATTGAACAGCTGTACGGCGAGAAGCTTCCACGCGTGTACACGGAGCCTGAGTATCTGTTTGATGTCCGAGACCGCGAGCCTAGCGACACCGATAGTGACGATGAAGGGTACTCTCTTGATGATGTCTCTTTCACAGACGATTCAGGCGTTGTGGTTTATGAGACTGCTTGGATTAGTTCCCCTGGGCAAAGGGATGGAAACAACCTTACATATTCAGAGGAACCGCAGATATACTTCTACTGCTGTAAACCAGAGAAGTACCATGAATTCAAAAGACTCTGGGCCGGTGTCATCGAACAGATGAACAGAGATCATGAGGAAGCCAGGAGCCGGTCTAATGCCGCGGTAGAACCAACCTAATGGACCTCCCATCACATCTTGAAAGATTTAGTGGGGAGAAGGGGAAAGGGAACTTTTACTTCTTTCTGTCTTGTACGCAAAATATCTCTACTCTAGTCGATCGCTAGCAAAGAATACGATATTGTGAATTCGTTCTTCGTCCACCGCATGAGCGAAACTGAAAGAGGCAGTACTTCGCGCAGAGTATCAATACAGTTGTGAAAATCTAGAATAAGGCCCTACGCTCGAAGGTAGTCACATACGCTCTTGCCCCATCTGATTGCACCCTTGTACCTCCACATGCCCGGAGCATTACCCTTTTGCAATCCTTCAATGGCATCAGCAAATTCTGTACCCAGACCCTCGGCTTTAATCCCTTGAATGGGATAAAGATACGTCTTGAAGGAAAAAAGTACGGCTTGAGTCGTGGGCATTCGAGTCAAAGTTTGCAGTTCAGCGCGCACGAATGTCTGTTTTCAAGTAAGCCGTTTTATTCCAAGGGTCAGAATCTTTTGAGTGTACTAACCTTATCGATCTCGATATTTTCTTCTTCAGCTTCTTCTCCAGGTCTGATATGGTTGCCTTTGACGTTGAAAAGCTTGTCGTGTGTTTGAACGGTCCACTGTTTGAGTTGTTGATAAGCATTCTAGCAGCTCATTATCGTCGCGTCACACTCACATTGCTACGCTTGACGCCCTTGCCCACTTGCAGCTTTGAGAAGAATCTCTCAATGCTGGGTCCAATCTTCTCATATGAAGGGACTGTTGTGTGGATCTTTGTCATGTGTGCCCCCAGTTTTGAGGACGGGTTCCATCCAGATGGAAAGCAGCACACGAAAGCAACGCACTGGTGGCCATCCGGCGTATTCTTCAGGAGGAAAAGATCCTCCTCAACTGTGGTGCCGAGGATTTTCAATGCAGCCTTCGGATCTCTCGGTGGGATGGTGGGATGGTTTTCTCCAGTGACCAGGTTGAAAAACATGGATTTATCATGCGACAGCTTGAACATTGTTGGATAGCGGCTTGGTAGATAGTCGGTGATGAGATAAGTGTATAGCTCTTGGACTGAATCTTCTCCCATTGAGGTGCATCCATGAACTGTGTCATTCTCAGATTGAAGAAGCTCTCTTCTGAGACCGAGCCTATTGAGATATTCACAATCAATCGTGATGAGTTCAGATGGCGTATCAGATCTGACAGCTGTGTCCTCGCCGTCAGTTTACATAAAAAGTCCGCAGGTACGGTTTTGTGTCTTTATAATTACCCATTGTGATGTGGTAGATTGGCTTAAAGGCGCGAATCTTGTGCTGCTGCTCATTTTCCCATCGAAACTCCTCCAGGGGATTAATAGTTGGAACCACCACCACCGAACTATCAAGCTTCGGCTTTTCCAAGCATGATTCCAGCGGTTTATTCGTGCCTCGACTCTAAGATTCAGATGTTTAGTCTCGAGTCATGCTAGACAAGGGGAAGAAAAAAGTGCTTACCAGTACTGTCCGAAGAAGTTGCAGAACAGCTATTGTGCTAAAAAGAACCAGGAAAACGAAAAACCCTTGATTTAAAAGAATGGGCATTAAAAGTCCCCTGGCGTGAGAAAAACTGTCCATTGCGGAAGGCTAGTATGGTCGCTGATATGAGAAAGTCGCTGGATGTTTCAGCATAGATGAGCAGATGGGAAACCACAAAGAACCAAGAGTTGCGTCAACGCAGTCTACATATATCGCCCAGGATGGAACCAGGTGGACCAGACCATGCAGAAGAGATGGCCTCTCCGCTTTCCTTCCACATTGAGCCAGATCTAAACGTCCGAATCGGACTCGGGTGACAGCCGAGGCCCTAGCTCTCCACTCTTGACTTGATCTGGAACCGAGGGGCGATTGGCCAGTGGCGAGTTGATAACAGCTGCTCTCCAAATTAAACCAAATTCAGATTAGTGAGGTAGATAGCGAACATGTCATGACCTCCTTGTGGAGAAAATCTGGGGTCAATGCAAGGTCAACGGTCATGAATTGCCAAAACCCCGCTTCTCGGATTCCATGATCTTAAATCTGTCTGCCTTTCAACGAGATTCACATCTTTCTCCGCCCACCTGCCACATTTCCTTGTCATCTAAACAGTGAGAATCTGACGGGCGTCGTAACTATCTCAACTCTCCTCGGCAAATCGGGATACTCGGCGTCTAGTTGAACCGCGAACTGTCGAGTAACTGACACTAGATGTCCTCGAAAAAGCGGCCCTATATCCCCAAAATTAAAGGTGCGCCAGAAGGCTATCCGATAAATCTGATTTAATATATTGCATGGGACCTTGTAGTGACTATGAACTCAGGATGTTACCCATGTTCTCGGCGCCGCATCCATTGTGATCGCACCGAGCCTACTTGCCAAAAGTGTGCTGCCCGAGGTTTACAATGTACTGGGCTAGGGCTCAAATTACGCTTCCCATATGGTGCTCCGATTTCTATATCCACTACCTCAGAAGCACCAGGGACAGGCCATCGAAGCAGGTCAAACGCATTTCCTGCGCAAGATCCCGTCTTCACCTCGCAAAGCAGCTCTGACCAGACGTTCCCGCCAGTAATACTAAACGATTTTGGAAGCACTGAAGACGTACCGCCCTCCATTTTCTTGAGCAACGAAGACATTTCCCGTTTTACAAATAGCAGCTCACGACAAGACATTCACGAAAACTTATCTAGCTACAGCGCCGTTGAGACTGGCGTGGAACCTGGAAAGCATGAGACAGCTTTGGCCAGGTTCAATCAGATTGGGGGTATGCCTCATATCCCCACCGAAAATACTCCATTATGGAAAAGAATGATGTGCAAATACTGTGAGAGTTTCATAATTTGGTACGGTGACCAGAAAACTGACAACTCGGAACGGAAGTCTCGGATAATATCGCTCCTGAAATGACTGCCATCGACGGAAGTCACAACGAATGGCGTCATTTGGTTCTATCACTCGCCCAGGCAGATAACTTAGTAATGGATGCAGTTGTAACAGTGGCATTTTACCATCTCGAATTGAACAGATTCACGCAGGCCCATAGGAGAACAAAATGCGAACTCTCAACCACCCGGAACGACCTACGAGACCCAAACGAGATGTACAATCGAGTAATCCTGGGCCTCCGTAGCCAACCAGAGCTAAACAGCGGGGATGTCAATATCAAGATTTCTGTTTCAATAACTATCCTCATCCTATTTGTTGGAGCGATGGTCACCGGGGGTTCAGACTTTCTGTTGTTGTCTAGGATGCTAGAATCCGCAATAGAGGCAATGGGCGGTGAAGACAATCTCCCACGAGTCTATGCTTCAGATTTTATAAGAAAACAAAACCACAAGTATGTTACATTTCAGGGGGTATTTGTTTTTCCTTGCCCTTACTCACATTGCTGCCAGGATCCGTATTTATGCTGCCCCGCTCCTTAATGAGAATAGGGGAATCCAGTTCATATCGTCACAATCCCACAAGGAGCAGCTATTCAATTCCCTCACTCATAGGTTATCGGATTACCCTGAGCATAGTCCAACAATGATGTTGGTGAGAGACTTGGTGCAACAAGCCCTAGACTTATACATTGAACAAGTCGATTGCCGGACGGATGACCAGACTTCTGGGGTACTTGGACATATGACCTCCATGATTCGAGTTCAACACTTTAAAGAAACCTTAGAAGCGTTTCCTCAAGGAGCACCTGGCGAAAGGGTTCTGGTCTGGGCATGCTTCATCGCGGCCTCTGCGAGCATCTTGGACGAGCACAAAGAATTCTTTGAACAAATACTTCTCCGGCATCAGTCAAGGAATGGATTCATTAACATCCTCGAGGGTCTAGAATACTTGAGAAGGATTTGGAGTCGAACGTCCCAAGAGAGGTGGACATCACTTCTCGCCCAAGTCAATGTTCTTGTCATGTAGGTTAGCACGCTTATTGTGTTCAGAAACCCGATACCTCTTGTACCAGATAGTCCAGAGACTCGGACAGCCGTTGAAAGAAAAACTCCCAACAACCGTTGTGTTATCTAGGCATTTTTTAAGGGTTTGAATATACAACAGGTAGTTTTCTTTGTCAAGTTGAAGGTCATTCCTTGAAACTTTAGTCATAATAAGTATATTAGCTTGCATAGACTATTTATGAATACATCATGCCAACTGAGATGCCGTGGCGAAGAGCCAAATCGTTCACGTCAGTTGTATTCAAGTCATCAGGAGGGCAGTACACTGATACCGCTACCCCATGCCTTCAAAAGCTGTAATTTTCATGTTATCCATCATTACTGCTACAAGTACCCTGCTCCAGCCACTCGGAAGTGGAAGAAATGCATGATCGCGGTAGCAGATCCAGGTAGGTCTGCTCAGGGTCGTTGACGTTCTGGAGCTCACTCAAAGCAGCGATCAATCCCTGTATGCGCTCCCGAAACGACTCGTGGCTTGTTCTATAATTATATAAGAATTCGGCACAGAAGAACAGGACAAGAGGCATAAGTGGATGTATCTATGGATCCAAATTAGTCTCACAATACACAAGTGTAGCTCGAAATCCAGCCGCAAACTAAATATCTCTCACCTTGGAAAAATGGATTTCGCGGAGGGGCTGAAGTAGCGAGATAATAGCCGCAATAGCGGTCGACGCTCTAAGTTGTATTTCCTCTTTGTCGTTATCAGATGTATGCAAATTAGTGGCAGAATACAGCGTTTCCATTATCCCCTTGCACGTATAGGCTACTGTAGCCTGACCAAGGATACCTACAAAATCAGACAATGGACCGCCCATCTTAGTCGTTGGAGATCCATAAGATTCAGAGAATGCTTTGAGTCGCGATTTAAGTGTTTCGTCAAGCCATTGATTCTGACCGGCCCAGTCTACGGTGAGACCACCATAGGCCAGCGAGATTTTGTGTTGCTGGCAATGTAAGAGGCTGCGTCCACAAATGGTAGCCAATATAAGACACTCATTGAATGGAGCAGCAGGCCCAGGGGCTACTATTGCTTCAGATAAAAATGGCCCCAGAGTATTTTGACCGCTTTGAAAAGCCTCCTCTGGTGCTGGCATTCGCGTGCATACCTAATGTTTCGAAGAAGCATTTGGTTAGTTACATGTAGAGCATGGATGGGTTGAGAACAGGATGTGTCTGGAGTCTTACCACATGCTCGCTCAGCGTTATCGGCCAATCGTTGCGCATACTGAATAAATGATCAAGCAAGTATGCCACCCAGAAAGTGCGGCGTCTCTCTTCAGTCTCTGTGGTGTCTAGCTGTGATGAAATTGAACCATCGATCCGGGGTTTGTCGATCTCATGGAAACGCATGCCTTGTACCAAACGGAAGCTACGCCCGGCGCTCATCCATGCTTGCTGATAGTGGGCACGGATGGACTCGCAGATGGCTACAAGTACTGACGCTTGCACAAGCTGAGTATCTCCAGAACTATCCCGCTCAAAAGAGGCTATAAGGCCACCTAAGAGCTGCTTAGCCTCAAGATAAATAGTTTCGGTCAAGTCACGAAACTGAGCAGAGAACAAGGTGGATAGAGTCCACACGGCATACTGTAGACATCTAGATGAAGACATTGTCCCATCTGATTTTGTCCGGGACATGAATCGTCTCTGGTGAACCAGGGGTATGGACGGGTGAACTCGGTCAAAGTACAGTTGATTCCTGTTGAATGAGATAAGCTAATATCAATTATCTTGTAATGCGTTCAGAACGGATCAGAGGACATACAATTCGGCTTGCACATGGGACGCTAGATTCACGCCGTTCCCGAAGTTCGTGGGGATTATCGAGGAAAGAGACGGTTGGGGAAACTGGCTGAAGTCCGGCCAAGGGTCCATTGGTGGAATCATCTGTGGAATGGTCTCTGGTGCGGATCCATCGGTCGCGGGGACTCTATCAAGAGACTGACGAGGCGCCATATCCTGTGAAGCCGGGGGATGTGGAGGAGATGCATGATCAATCTCACGGCCACTACCGTCGACTGTCTGGAAACCCTGTTCTTGATCCCTCATTCGGCGCTCTAGCATTCCTTCGAGATGGGCTAACCTGCTCCTCAGTGCCTTCAAATACCCTTCCTTCGATCCGCGGCTTCCGCGCTGTGGCATCTCACACATTATGTTGGATGCTTGGCAAGATCCACATTGCGGCTGCTGTCCATCACACAGGAGATGACGATGACAACACTGCATACATGGAGATACAGGGTGCATTTTGAGCCTAGTGACGAGATCCGGGCTTGATTGTTCCAGTCTCCCGTTGTCATGGATCGAATAATTTTGGATGTACGTGTACGTGTTTCTGGAGCAGACAGTCCAAGTGGGACTCGCCAGTCTCAATGTCAGCAACCAGACACCGAAACCCCTAAAGGCAGCGAATCTAAGCAGTGTTCAGTGATTGGTTAAAACCAGAATTGCAGTGGGACTGACCCCTGTTTGATGCGTCTAGAAATAAGCATTATTGTTGTTCTTAAACAGTCGCGTCGTGTGATCACTCCCTACCCTATACCTATTAAACCCGAACATCACACTCAACCTCACCATATTGTTTATCACGGGCTCTGATAATCAGATTGTTCAGCCTGAAATTTTCTACATTTAAGTCCTTTCTCCAGTTGATTTCCATGGATCATCTCTATTCACGTACTAGGAACATGCCTACCTAACCTTTGTTTGTAGTGATCCTTGTGACACTTCTTACTAGATGATTGAGGAAACGGCTGTATTTAAAAAGCTTCTTCTTTCTTTATCGTTATTTCTGTTTCTAGAATTTCCATCGTGTATGTAATAGCAACCTGATTATTTAACTAGCTTCTTCTCTGCTTCGACCAACTCGGCAAAGCCTCTTACTTGCTCCTCTAATGCTGCACCTTCCAGTAGAGCACATGGCCGCCTGGGGTGACCACCATAGCCGCGATATGTTTGCAGGGCAGCCTTGACAGAGACGAATCCACCTTTGATAGCAGCCCAGTCACCCCGAGCAACAACGCCCTGGTACAAGGCCGCCTCCTCTAGCTTGCCCTGCTCCCAGAGCTTGAAGAGTTGAATACAGGCCCTGGGCGCGAGGTTACCCGTGCCGGCAATCACACCGTTACCGCCGGCAGCGAGGGTCTGAATGGTGAAGTCACAGCTGCCACCGAAAGTTCGGAAGCTCGTACCGGCAGTGCCGGCTACCACCCGTGCCAGCTTACCAGTGTTGCCGCATGTCAGTTTAACGCCAACGATGTTGGAATGTTGAGCGAGGTCAAGAATGACATCTGAGCTCAGGTCCAGGCCCCCGCAGGCGGCCGGGAAGTTGTAGATGAGTACGGGAAGCGGGCTGGCATCGGCAACGGCAGTGAAGTGCTGCTTGATGAGGTCGGTGGTCAGGAGGCCGCTGTAATATGCAGGGGGGAGAATCATGACATGACTACCACCTGACTCTGCGGCCTCCTTGCAGAGTTGGATAGTTTCCCGTGTTGATTGGGCGCCACAGCCAACGATAAGGGGGAGGTGGGACTTTCCAGCGCGGTCAAAGGCTTTCCGCGTAGCACTGGTCACCAGTTGACGTTCGGCGTGGTCAAGATGGACGGCCTCACCGTTGGATCCGTGTGTTAGGATACCAGCGACCCCAGCTTCGAGGAGAAAGGTAGTGTGGGCAATGGTGGTCTCTACATCAATTTCATCCGCTGCGGTGAAGAATGCGACCGTGGGGACATAGAGGCCGTTCTCGAGCGGCTTGCGCGGCTCGGTCGATCTGGATATGGCCATTTTGTCAAGAATTTGTATGTGTATATGCTGCGAACGTTGGGTGCAAGAAGGCAGAGAAAGGGGATTAGGACAGTGTTTAGGATACGTTCACTCGGCCGGGCCAAAGCAACGGCCACAGCATCTTAAACCCTTCCATTGGCCCCTTCTTTAGCGGCCCTAGACCGATGTCGGTCGGTCCATGGCTAGTATGGCACCAAGTGGACTCGGCGTGCCATCCTCAACACGGAAGTTTACCTCGAGGATGACCCCCACGTTTCCCAGGTTCCGGCTAAGAGAAATGAGACCGAATACTGTCACGAGGAGAGAATGGTCTCCATACATTTCGGCTATGCTTGACTCATGCTGTGGAGACTCTCCATGGAAGCAACGTAATATTTGCCCCGTCCGTGAACTACAATCCATGAGACTTTTGAACCCCCACGCCCGAGTCCATTTCCCTCCCCGCATTTTGTCCCCGCATAAAAATGAATGTTCGACAGAGGCTGAATGCAGAATGCAACGCTAGCATCCGAGGTGGGAACCCCCTCATTCGTTAGGAGATTGCTCGGGAATGTGTCGTGTGCTTAGGTGGGAACGAATCAGGAGCGAGGTATTGGTCAAGTCGAGCAAAGTTGATGGACAGGACATGATCAATGTGTTTTATTGCCTTTTAACTCAACTACTACTATTATTCCATCTTCCCTTGTCGATTTAGTTCATTTTCATCCCATCCATGTGTACTTACTCCTTCGACGGGAGACCTGCAAGGCCAAGGAAGAAGCATGACAGACCCCAAGCTCCCGGATCCGGGACTTGTGTGAAGCCGCTGCCGCCTACATAGACAGATCGACCAAGGCTGGCTTGCATGCCCTTTGTCTCCACTGCCGCCTTTCGGGCTGCATTAGCAGCCTCGGCCAGGCTACCCGTCTTGCCTAGGATCTCGACGAAGGGATAGAGTGCATCCACTAAGGTACGATCACCCGGGCGGGCTGGTGTATATTTAGACAACGCGTCACAGCTCTGCTGCAAGGCAGTGGCCCATGTTTGGGGTGTAAGAGCACCAGGAGCGGGGGCTTGGAGGGCATGGACGAGAGCGTTCAGGAAAATGGCATAGAGAGCACCAGAGGTACCGTCCATGTTGTTCTCTATTACGGGCACAATGCCTGCAAGATCAGATAGAACGTCTCCCGTCAAGGGGCTCGTACTGATGTGCTTGAGAACAGCTGTAGATCAGAGTGTTAGATCACATTTTAATGTAGAGATTAGATGTAAAGACTCACCTTCAGCTCCTCTCTTTAATCCGATACCGCAGTCACCGTCTCCCACTACGGTATCGTACTGGGTGACTTCGGGCTCAGCAGCAATGACAGCCTCCAGGGCAGAAATGAGAGCGGATTTCTCATCCGCGGCGCCCATGGTCTGACCACTTGGCTTTTTGGCTTCATCTAATTTCGATGAGCCCGTCCTCTCGGCCGTATTTCCAGCCTCCCATGTCGCCGCCTGGATAGGAGCAGCCCACCCAGGAGCTTCACTTGGAGCGTCCAGGAGTTCTATCATGCTTGGACCACCGATGTCCACAGTGTTAAGCAAGCTGATACTGAAACCAAGACCGTTCAGGCTCGTCATGTACATGCCGCTCAGGACTCTTGCCGGCTTGATGTTGTAGGTGGACTCCAGTTGTGAGACAACCTCAGTGGTGATGCCGCCCATCTCGAGGACGCTCACGCTTCCCAGGTTGTTGATGAGGAGAACAACCTGGTTCGACTTTACGTCAACAAATGCGCGGTCCTTATCAGACTGGTCAAGAAGCTGGGAAAGCATCCTCTTAACCAGATCGGGGAGACCAATCTTAGCTCTGCCTGAACCATCCTCGTTGTGAATGCCCATGCCGATTTCCACCTCGCCAACCTCAAGAGTGTGCTCCGTACTAATAGCACGTCCTGGCACATGGACGTGATCCAAGCTGGCTCCAACGCTGACCAGATTCTCAGCCGTGAGTCTGGCAGCTTTGGCGACCTCGGAAAGTGGCTTTCCCTGCGCAGCAAGGGCACCAGCAATCTTGATGACAAGAACAGTGCCGGCGATGCCTCGACGACCGACTTTGCCACCCTTGGCGCGGCCGACACCGACGTCGTCGCCGACGACAACCATTTCGCACTCCACGCCAGCAGCCTTGGCCTTTTCCACAGCCATGCCAAAACTGAGTACATCTCCGGTGTAGTTCATTACGACGACCAGAACGCCCTTCTCGGTGTCAACACGGGATATGACGCCATTGCGAACCTGCTCTGCTGAAGGGCTGGCGAAGATGGTCCCGGCCACAGCAGCAGACAGGATGCCAGGGCCGACCATGCCAGCAAAGGACGGTTCATGGCCAGAGCCCCCACCAGACAGGAGAGAAACCTGGCTGGGTGCATTCGTCGGCCGACGGTAGATGATCTTGTTATCGGCATCCAGTGCAACCGTGGGGTTTGTGATGGTCAAGCTGTGCAGCGCATCGTTGACCAACTTGGTCGCATCACTGATGAAGTGTTTGGAAGACATCTTGATCCGGTCGTACTCGCCTTCCTTTTCGTTCCTCGATTTTTCTTGTGCTAGCCGGGAAGTCAAGAAATGAAGACGACAACTTGGAAAGGCGGTGCAGGATCCCAATGGAAGCACTCAATTGAGGGGGCGGTATGATGTTCAACAGGCACAGGCCACCAGTCTTGGTTCCCTTGACACAAAATGAAACGACGAGGGGTTGGGGGTCACATATGCCACCCTTGGGGAAGGCCGTATTCTTGCATGAGCTGGAGACTTGAACTCCTCGCTCTCCACAAATACGAAGCGTTTGAGGGGAATCACCAGGCGGCATGAGCCCACACCTGGCTATGCCCCTTGCATCAAGTGACTTTCCAAATAACGCATCTTTCCCGAAAATGACTACTACTACCGCCTTTCCCCACTGGACCTTGGCGTGAAGGTGGTTCGTGGGGGTTACAACTGTTGGGCTGTTCCCAAGTCGGGCTGTTGTTCCCAGGCTGGTGGAATTCTCCGAAACCATGCCTGTCAATGGTTGCGCCCGCCGATTTCTCGGCTCGACATGCGTGCCACCCCCTTTTTTTCTTCAACGTGCCACGATGGCATTCGTGGGGGGCCGTGAAGAACTCGATCTCTGAGCTGATGGAACTATCGTGGGGGTCACAGTGGAGAGCCTCAAGAGAACTTGAATGTGGGGAGTGGAGAAGGCATAATTATTGGGGAGTGGGAGAGGTGAGGGGAAGGCGTGGGGGTCACGTCAGTTGATTCAACCTCCGAGGCGGCATGTGGCCCCACGGGGAATAGTCCGTGCTGATGCTGACTTGAAGCTAGATCGGTGTCCGAAAGTTAGTTTAGGGGGCAGAACTGGCGTGTTGAGGAAGAGGGGTATTCCGAATGACGGAGCAGGTTAGCCGACTCAAGCCGTGTCCCAACCCCCCCCGGCCAGTATTTATTTATTCAGG